ACAACACCCATCTATGGATCTACATACATACATACACACATGCAGTCACATCACATTCACATCATTCATTCTCATACATACATGCATAGACACATATGTACGTACATACACACACGCTCTCTAGAGCATTGATTTCCCATTTGTAGGCCCTAAAAATTACAGACAAAATTAGCTTCAATTTCTTTTAGCAATGATTTAAAACAAACTGTACTATCTCCCGTCGCATTTGCGGCATCTGCCCTACCCATCCCCATACCCTGACTCCTGTTTTCATTACCCTTTATCTGTCACATACATTCTCTTACCCCTTATGTCTGGCACTGCCACAGATGGTGGCAAAATCGATTTCGCCTGTAAAAACAAAACAAAATCTCGAATCTTGTTGACTCTTTCGAATAGGGTCCTCCATCAATACACAAGAGATGAAGTAGGGGGAGTAAGCAGGGGTGCAAAGGCCAACGCTCTTCGACCCTCAACAAAATCTAAGATTACCACCTACTCCCCTTCTCATCTCACCATCCCACTGCCATTGTAATCCACAACAAAATTGTTCTTGTCCTTACGAGGGGATGGTTGCTGGCGAGAGAGACCATTACGAGCCGGCCCAGGGGCTGAACATCGCCAACGCACAAAACCGTTATATATTTGGCCTAGCTGCAGCCCATGCAACACACACAAACAAACAGAAAGAGAAGAACAGTCAACTGTCAGCTGTGGGTGGAAGTTTTTCCTTCAAAAGCTCCTTTCCCCATTGCAACTTCCTTCTTTTTTTCTGCCCACGGGGGATTTTTGGGGTTGGTTTTTCCTGTGACGTCAGTCACGTCACACATTTTTTAAGGACACAATGAGGCATACAGTGAGTGAGGACACGCCACATAAATATTTCTGTAATGTCTGACTAACCTCCTCCAATAATCTCTTGTAAAACCCATCTAAAAAAATGACTTTTTTCCTGCTTAAAAGGGCCAGCAAAAAAAATGGTATACAATTTCCATTATGCAAGCGTCTGCCCACCAAATGCGTCCTAATTTCCAATTGAAAGGCCAACAGCCGTAGCCGTGCCGAAAAAAAAACAACTCCAAAACTGGACAATGTGCCAATAGTGTGGAAGTCAAGTGGGCTTTGTGGCAGCCACACAGAAAAACAGGCGGCGGCGCACACACAGACAACGGAGTAACCAGCAACCAACAAAATCTACAACTCCGGTGGTGGTGTTGTGTCCACAACTTCATTTGTCTCGCTGTCAATTTGTATTCCTTTTTTGTTGTTGTACCAAAAAAAAATGGGCCATAATCAAACAGCAACAACAACAGACGCCAACATTGTTTTTGCTTTATTTCTTTCTTCCCCCCCACAATCCATCCAAGTACAATTATGCACAGAAAAGCTCAAATATATATTTATTTTTTATTTTATTTCTATGAATTGTGCGTCGCCCAATTGGCCAACATTTTGGCATTTCAGCTTGGCCTGAACCGCAAGCGTCTGCCTATGCCCCATGCCCCCTGCCCCTCCAGTGTTTCCACAAGACATTGCCAATTGTCAACAAGTTTTAACTTTGGCAAGTTTTTTTTCACAATTTTTTTTTTTTTGCAATTGCCTGATCATTAGGATTGAGTAATGAATGCCATATACATAAATGTACGTATGTAGATATACATACAGTTGGTTATGGCCCCCAACCTGCTGCAATACGTTCCGAGCCCGGTGCTGGTAACCGAGACCCTCTGCCCCCGTTCGCTGCCCCTAATGCTGTCAATGAGTGTGAAAACACCTCCCTCGCTGGTGGTCCGCGGGGGTCTCGCCAACGCCATTGGCTTCGCCCTGTAAGTGTCGTTGCCGGTCGTAGTTTCGTGGTCGCGGGCCTGTCCAAATTCAGCGCGGGTGTCTAGTACGCCCTGCGCACCCCACCGGCGGCGGGGGCCCCGCGCGCCCTGGTGGTCGGTTTGGGCCAAATCTGGTCCAGTAAAGCTTTTGTCGTGCCGGCCCCCGCGCCCGGGCCCTTCGTCCAAACGCGGGCCGGGCCCAAATAGGAATCACCGTCTGCCCCCCCTGTCTTGGGTTAGGCCGGTCCCCCCCCGCCCCCAATCGTTTGCGTCTACTTCTTTTAGTTAATTGGGTTAATACATGTGGGCTCAACTTTCACCAATATCCCATTAGTCACCGACCCTTCTGGCCGGCTGTTCTTACGCCAAAACAACCCTATGTCCAACCCTCTATTTGTGGTGGCATTTAATATTTGTTTGTTTTCTTTAAAATATATCGCCCTTCTTGCGGTCTGGGTAGTTCTAAAGTCATGAAACGAGTGGATGCAATGTCGGTGTTCTTCGGTTCCAGCCTCCCGGCTCGTCATTTGAGCTCAAAGGGGGGGGTGGGACTACTTCATGACACAATTGTACATATGTCTGTATGTGCAAACGTATGTATGTAAATATGTAGATTTGTTTTATATCCAGAAAAATTTCCAGTTAAGAATAAATAACGAACTATTTACCATAATAAACCGTGTTCTTTTTTTGGTGGAATTCAGCAAACGTGGCTAAATAAAAGCCCGTCGCATCTTGGCAAAAAATGTAAAATGATAAAAAAAAAAACAGAAACGATTCATAGTATTCAGTAAAACTTTTTTTTGTTTTGGCCAAGAAAGAACTCATTCGAATCATAATTGGAAACGATCAAAAATTATGCGTTGATAAAGCAAATGACCTAAAAAAAAATCAGTGAAGTATACGCAATACAGACACATTCACATACTGTTAAGAAGAGACAAAATGTGGCAGAAAAGCAACAAGTAGCTTGCAACCAAGCGCGGAACCAGAAGAAGTATGCGAAGAAAACGAAGCAAGATGGGTAGAAATTAATTAATAAAATGACAAAAAAAAATGCCAACAGCAACTTATTTTTATTGTTCGTTCTTCTAGTCCCCTGGTTCTGATTCTCCCCATTCTCTTACGAAACTTATTGATTGTGCGGTCGCTCGTTCGTTTCGGCTTCGATAGCTTATCAGTGGGCTTTGTAAATCGAAAATTGTAAGGAATAAAATGATAGATAGGGTCAGGCAAACACCTCCTATACCCCTTATACAGTGGTGCTTCCAAGCAACGACCTTCGAGAGAGGAGTGGAGACGGAGACGCAGATGCAGAAATTCTGCAGAAGTGACGAATTTTCGTCTCAAGTTGGGTTGGGAAACGCGACAAAGCAGAGGCTGAAGCACAAGCAGAGAGAAATACAAAAAATTAATGAGAGGGGAACACAACGGAGCACTTTGAAAATGAAATGCAAAATAAATTATAATGAAAAAAAAAAAAGGGGGAAGGAAGATTAGCTTCGGGTGTAGAAGCTTCGATACCCATTAGAAAACGGTTCAGACTTGAATACATATGTACATGTATGTATGTACAGTTGTAAATTTTTATGTATAGACAGATAACTTTCGGACTTGTTTCACTCCGATCTGAAATATACATATTCATGTATTTACATACTGTATGTATATTCTTTGGAGATGCTTCCTTTGGGGCATTCCAAATATATTGGCGAAATAATGATAACCTTTTGTGATATGGATATAAAACGGGTAGAAAATTTAAATATAGCAAAAAGCAATATGGGCAGCCAGATTGAGAGGCAGTGGAAAGGGATTGTATGCAATGCAAAGCCAACCGACAGAGTAAGGGAGATAGAGCACACTCTGAGAGCAGTGGGAATGCAATACAAGAAATGAAGCAGCGGTCAGAGAGTTAGAGAGAGCGAGATAGGGTCAGCTCGGGCACAGAAAACAATAACAGCTGCTCTCTGATGTGAGGGCGAGAGTGAGAGCCTGAGGGAGAGAGCAGCAGCAAGCAGAGTGAGCCAGGCGAATGCAGCAGATGCAGGCTAAAATGCGACGCACAGTGGAACAAGAACCCAATCCAAAAGAAACCAAGAATATAAAAAAAAAAAAATAGAAACAACACAATAGAATCACAAATCTTTGAAAGTTCTTCAATTTTATCTGAATTCATCATGTGCATATAAAAAGTTAAGATTGCACAGAAATGTAAAAACAATCTGTGGAGAGCTGCACACAGATTCTAGAGAAATATTTAATCACAATTTATCTTTCAGTTTTATCTGAAGACTAGAAAATCTTTTTATCTCAGAAAATAGTTCAGATTGAGGTATGTAACCAGAAATGCAATAGAGATTATCCAAAGTTTTTTCGTATCACACACATGGGCAACTGATTCCCTGATCTCGTAGGACAGTTGATATTGATTTTTTAGGGGTTTAAGTACAACAGGCAAAATTTGTTTTCTGTGTTTTATTTGTTGCTTTCGGGTTTATGTACTTTGTGGGAGCCTTTGGGTTTAAAGGGTTTCTCCAACTGTAATTTTAACATCTTATACAAAAAAAACCCTGGAAAATCGCTCTTGAGACACACTGTGCCGTTATCCACACACAACTCTCTTTCGGTCACTGCCTGACAGCCTTGCATGTGCGCTTTGCTGATCGTGTGTGAGAGCTTCTACACATACATACACACACACACACACACACACAGAGCCGAAGACTTGAACAAGAGGAAGAAGCTAATCGAAATAAAACAAGTTTTGAGACGCAGAAGTTTTCAGTTTTCAGAAAAAAGAGAAATAAAAACAACAACAAAAGCTGACTCCCAACTCCGGTCTCAGACTTTCTTCAACATTTTGAGCTTTGTTTCGGTTGTCGCTTTTGTAGTATTTGGTATGTTTTTATACCCGTACTCAAAAAAGAGTTAAGGGGTATATTAGATTTGTGGTAAAAGTGGATGTGTGTAACGCAGAGAAGGAAACGTCTACGTCCCCAGAAGCGACTCACACGTTCCTTCTCGTTTTAGTTATGTTTTAGAGAGCAGCTGCTTGAGAAAACGTAAAACTTGTTTTGTGCCAAAAAAAAAAGAGAGGAGAGAGAGAGGAAAAAAACAGTGAAGAGAAGATATCCCTCTTGTTGGGACACTACTGAGGAGGATACTACTCACCTGGCAAACGGCGTCTGTTCCACCTCGTAGATCTCGTTGATGTCATGAGACACGAGTAATCCTTTCAAGCGTTCGGCATCTACATCCAAAAGGCCATCGCCTATGGAAAAGATTCCCTTTTCGGTGAACATGATCTGTGGATCTGTGTGTGCTGGGTAATTTTATGGGGGAAGATCAGATCTTCTCTCGTATTTCGTTTTGTTGTTTCTTTTTTGGGACTCTGTTTTTTTCTGTTTTATGTTTGACTAATTCTTTGATTTTGTTGAGTTGGCCGGAGGGGGGAGACGGGTAGCCGCACGTTGTGTATTCTTAAACTGTGTTTTAGCACAAGAACAAAAAGGAAAGAAATCAGTGAGAAACGCAAGATGAGAAAAAGGTAAACACACGACAAATTCGTCGATTGAAAAACGTTGAGGGGGCGCGCTCTTCTCTCACTCTCTCGCACACACATACACACAACTCTAAAATGTGGTCACACTACAGAAATTCCAGTGCAACTGCAACACACAACCACATAAGCACACAGGCACATACACGTGTGTATAGTAATTTTCTCACAGCAGCCAAAATTCCCGCAGCTCTACTCTACTCTACTCTACTCCACTCCACTCTCTCTCACTCCCGTGTTTATGGTTGTGTGTGTATATATGGGTATATTGTACCGTTCTGCAGACACAACTTTTTTTTCTCCTTTATTTGATTTAAACATATGAAAATTATGAAAACATATGATTAGCGCCAAAAAAAAAAAACACGACAATTTCCGGATGCAAATCCTGAAAAGGTTAATATCTAAAACTTTGTGGTACGCACGGCACACTGTTCGTGGTGGTGGTTTGGGTTGGTTTGGTTGCATGGTATGGTTAGGTAGGTACAAAAAAAACTCGCTGCGCGCACGAACCGTAAACGGAAAAATGTTGTATGCGTCCCCAGGACTCGACTCGATCGAAATGAAAGGGAAATATTAACCGTAGGTTTTAGCCCGCCAAGCCAAATGCAATTGCCCTAAGATTCTATTTGACTCTTGTTTATTATCATTTTGGATTATGTTTTATCAATCGCGCACATTTTTATACAAACAGCAACAAACCGTGTAGAATGTTGATTACGGGTATTTTCGTGGGAAGTATCAACGGAAATTTCTGAATTCAGAAAAAATTCGACTAGGTGGTGGTGTTTACGAGTCTGCGGCAAAAAATTTGTAAGACCAGTTTTCCATATTTCTGGCTACAATGTGCCCATTTCTTGTATGTTTCTGCCTCATGCTGCTTAAAATCGTGCTGCAGGCAAGCTAAAAAAAGGTATGGACCACTGGCAAAACGGTCCAGAAGTGACAAGTCACACAAGGCAAAATCCACCCCAATTCCTACCTATTGTTGATAAAACACGATGAGGTGAGGTTCGTAGGGGCCTAGTTATGTTGCTGCTCCAGTTTTACCTATTGCGCATACCTTTCCACAGTGCAGAGGTTCGAGTCGAGCTCTCAAACTCATTATTGTATTTCAAGTATGAGTCGGATAGATGTGTTGTGCAAAATGTTGCTGGATAATTTTTATCCATTCTATGCTGCTGGAGATTTTCTTAAAATTATCGACTGCCTGAAACAGTATCGATATATTTGTGCGAAAAGCGGCGGAAAATAACTATAGTAGAGCCGAGCTCTAATTTTTTTCAAACAGGAATGTGTCTTTTCCCTTTGTTCTTTACGCTATCTAAAATTTAAATTTAATAATTTCTATACTCCGAGTGTTGGTAAGCGGCGATTTGAAGCCGTGAAAACACCATTTTCAATACCCCATCCCCATCGATACTATCGATCGCGCCATCGATTGTATTGTCTGTGCCGCAATTCAAAATATGCATTTTCCTATATTTTTGGGGGGTTTCTTGAACTATGATGGAATGTAGTTAAGCTTGGTCAACTAATTTTGGCGATGCCTAGTGCCCACAAATAGTTGGCGTCTCTCCTTGCTGTTCTAATGAATTCTTAATTTATAATTATGCTTTCAGGCCGTGCTCTCTCTCCCTCTCTTTAGGTGCGTGTGTAGGTGTGCCTTGCCACCCAGTATAACGGGAGTGTATGTGTGTGTGCTCCACTTGCAGACCGCCGCTGCACATTTTTCATGAGCATTTTGTCCGCCTTGGGGCCGGAATGGGTGCCGCTACCCCGTCGCCTCACTGTATTTGGACGCGTGTGTACGTGGATATTATATATATTTGTCACCACGACGGCATCTCAGGAATGCGGAGCACCAGAAATAAACCAAGTGCAAAAACCTTTAGCATCAATCTATTAATAATGCTGCATAGTATGCTGCATATCTCCCGCCTCTGTATCTCACTCGCTGGTTCTAGCCGCGCACACACACACGAACGCACGCACAGGCTCCGTATATGTATGTAGGGGCGCTTTTTTTCTGTACACCACTCTCCGTCTGTCTGCCGGAATACCCAACTCCCTCTTGGCTGCATTTCAAGTTTGGCAGATCCGGCTTTTGACCTACGCAAAATGTTTGTCCAAACTGAAAATAGATTGCATCCCGAAAGATTTTGGCAACTAATTGCATTTTTTAATACCAAACTACAACTGTAAATATCTGGGAATGGTCAGGATTATACATATGGTTGTACGAATGTATGTGTGTGTGGGGGTATGTTACATGCTACATGCTACATATGAGTTAATCCCGGGTTAATCTACAGTAATAATGTTGAGCTTTCCCGTTCAGATCTCGTTTCCCCGTTCGGGATCCAAAGCGGTGTATTGTAGCCTTTAAATTGGTCAAAAGAGAGAATATGATGGTGATGATGGTGTGGGTGGGTGTATTCCGTCTCTTTCGGATCTTCATCAACACTCACACACATCCAATCCTAACGAAGTTTCTGTTTTATTTGCTGTTGTACTGTGCAAAATAAGACCCGAAAGAGAGCGCGTTGCGGGAATACGAGTACTCACATACTTATGTACATACGTAGGTACTTGGCTGTATGCAAAAAACTCCACAAAAATTACTGAAAGTCTAGGACAATATCTATTCAATTTGTATTCCGATTACAAAGAGGAAACGACATGAATATTGCATTTGAAATTTATGTTTTTTGAAAGGGTAGGGGAGGTGTAGCATTAATCGCCACAGTAGGGACACTGGGGTCCGGCAGCAGCACTAGAGGCTCGGGTACTGCCAACACTACCATCTTCGCTGCCAGCGCCAGCGCCGCCTCCATCTCCATCCATTTCCGCACTGCTGCGATAGTCATCGATGATGGCCTGCAGCTCCTGCTGGGCATCGGTGAACTCCTGCTCCTCCATGCCCTCACCAGTGTACCAGTGGAGATGGGCCTTGCGGCGCAGCATCACCGAGGAGCCGTCGAGCAAGCGCTGGAAGAGCGTCTGAATGGCCGTCGTGTTGCCAATAAATGTGGCAGACATCTTGAGGCCACGCGGCGGTATGTCACAGATCGCCGTCTTGATGTTGTTGGGTATCCAGTCGACAAAGTTATTCAGATTCTTGTTGCGCACCCCCGTCATCATTTGGTCGACCTCGCGTGGCGACATTCTGCCCCGGAATATGCCTGCGGCAGTCAACAGTTTGCCCTGTCGCAGATCGATAGCGCACAGCAGATTGTTGCTGGAGAAGATCTGCTGCACCAGCTCCGAGACGGTGCCCTTGCTGAACTGTTGCTGCGTGCAGGTGACCAGCGGCGCGAAGCCGGGTATAAGGAAATGCAGACGCGGAAATGGCACCATGTTCACGTATATCTTCCTGAGGCCGGCATTCAGCTGTCCGGGGAACCGGAGGCATGTGGTAATGCCGGACATGGTCAGCGCCACGATGTGATTGATGTGCTCGTAGCCAGACATTTTGATTTTCAGATTCCGATTGCAGATCTGGAATAGAGCCTCGTTGTCCAGACAGAACGTCAAATGTGAGTTGTTCACCAGGGCCGGTGTGCTGAGCAGCGCATTGTAGGGCTCCACCACCACCTGGGACATGTTCGGTGAGGGAATGGTCACGTAGTTGCACAGCAGATTGTCCGGATACTGCTCCACCAGCGCCTCCATGATCAGCGAGGTGAGACCGGAGCCGGTGCCGCCGCCAATCGAGTGTAGCAGCTGGAATCCCTGCAGTGAGTCCACAGACTCCACCTCTCGCCGGGTGTTGTCGAGCACCTGCTGCAGTATTTCCGCACCATCCGTATGATAGCCACGGGCAAAATTATTGCCCGCACTCTCCGAACCGGCCACAAAGTTCTCGGGCCTGTACAGCTGACTGCTGGTATGAAGCCGCTGGATGGTGCTGGCCTCTGTGTCGATGACGATGCTGCGCACATAGAAACGCCTGCTCACCGTCGCATTGAAGAAGACATTCATCCGCTCCAGCTGCAGCGGACTGGTGCCACCGAAACGACCCGAATTATAGTCGACGCCATGCTCATGCGATATAACGTGCCAGAACTGCGTCAAGCAAGAATTAATCAAATGGAATGGGATGAGGAACGGAGCCCAGCCCGAAGGAGCCACACAGTGGCTGTACTCACCGCATCGCCAATGGCATTGCCGGCGCCGCCAATCTGCAAGGTAACGATCTCCCTCATACCTCGCACCACACCACACCACTCGCTAAATTTTGAAATTTTGTTTTTAAAAAAATGTCCTAACGTTCGTTCTCTCCTGATTGACACATTTCCCACAGCTACATAGCTCCAAAGCTCCACAGCTCTCCTTCAGGCTACACACACACTTAAAAATAAACTACGCTCACAATTCTTACCATACAAGTTACAATTTAATGAGAGAAGAGGAAACCGAAATTACACAGCAGCAAAAAAAAAAAAATTTGAGGAACATTGCAAATGAATTGCCGCCATTCCCCAAAGTATTTGATGGGAAGGGACTTTTGCTGGTGTTTGTTTTGTGTTTTTGTTATACCGATTCTTGCTATTTGTCCTTCTTTTCCGCGGACAAAGAATTGTACAAGCGGTTGACCTCGTTGGCCACCAGATTGTCCAGTATGATGCCATTGGTGTCGATGAAGGCCGCACATGATTTGGCGCTGTTCAGCTCACGCTGACCCTTGGAGTCGCGCACACTCAGGGTGAGCAGATATTTGTCGTCGTACTTCTTCATGTCAGAGCTCGCCTCCCAGGTGCGCTCCTTCTCCTTGTGGACGGCCACCGCGAAGGTGCCCTTCTCGCGGAAGCTCGTATGGAGCGTCAGTACGCCCATTAGGGCGAAGTAGGCCAGCACGCTGAACATTAGTACGGGACGGGACTGGGGGAACGGGTGGGTGTAGTCCCAGGCATGGGCCATAATGGCCACGCCAACGGCCAAAGCGCACAGTGCCAGACGTGTGTTGACCAGACCGAATTGCTCCTTGAGATGGGGACGATCGCCCAGCAGGCAAGTCTTTACGGCATCATCCAGGGCGTGCTTCACCGCGGAGCCATCCCACTTGTTCACCTTCACCAGCTGCAAGAATGTGCAATGTGCAAGACCATTTGTTTCCATTAACAAAATACAACAGAACACATGACGTGTACATATTAGAATTACTTCGGCCGAGCCGGCACTTGGTTTTACGCTCACTTGTGCCCATTTTCCTTACCTCTTCGCCTGGCTGGGATTTGTCCTCCTTTTTGCTCATTCTAGACGGTTTCTGTTGTTTCGTTAGAGCGTTGCAGGAATATGAAAATTTAATCAAATCAGCCACAACACAGTTTTTCCAAGCGCTTCCTTTTTTTCTTTCCTTTTCTTTTGACAACGCGACAAACAAACTTTTGCGAATAAAATATACCCTCCTGACCCTCAAGAATATACTGAAATATACCTTGTCATTTTCATAATATACCGTAAATATACGGAGGAAAATCATATTCCTCAAATATAATATTCCATTTCATATTTGAAGCTAGTTAGGACTCTCACCACTGAACATATAATTTTATCAGATAGAGAAATTAATCTACAGTGTAGCTTTATTTATGGATTCATTCATCCATTCATTGGATTTTTTAGAACATAGGGTTTAATTAAAAGAGCTCAACAAAAATGTTTATTTTTGTACATGGTAACTACACAGTTTCTACATATCAACGACTTATTGGTGGAGTATGGTACTTTGCATACCCTATTTCCTTTAATTAAGCCCAGTACTCAGATCAGCTACATATTTTTTGTAAATATAAACAACACTTGGTGGACTTGGTAGGATCTTTGAGTGTATTTTATTCAAATTCGTTCATTATGAGCTACGAGAATGTTTTAAAAGTTCATAAATATCATCCGCCCGTTGTGCCTGCCAGGTAGATATCCATGGCCGCCTTATTAAGGTGCAACGACGTTCGTCGTCGTTTGGGTATCGGCTGGATGTGTGGCAGCCGCGTCCCATTCACAGCATTCAGGCTCAAATTCGAATTCGGATCATCGTCATCGCTCACATATGAGCTGTACGATGACTGCGAGACGTGCTGTACAGCTGGCGGCGGATTGGAGCGCTTGCGTTTTTCCGCCGCCGCCGCGCTTTTTGTGGACATACTATCCTCGCTGGAAGTTTCACGGTCGGATACGGGAGTTGGTCGCTTAAGTGCTGCCGCTGTGGACGTCGTCGAGCTGGCGTCCGAGGAGGAGTTAACGTCCTGTCGCAGACTGGAGCTCGATTCCGAGCTGCTCTCCGCCTCCTTCCTCTTGCGATGCACCAGCGCATTTCTCGCCGCGCTTGTTATGGGCATACTATCCTCGCTGGAAGTTTCACGGTCGGTTACGGGAGTTGGTCGCTTAAGTGCTACCGCTGTGGACGTCGTCGAGCTGGTGTCCGAGTAGCTCGCTTCCGAGCTGCTCCACGCCTCCTTCTTCTTGCGATGCGCCAGCGCATTTCTGGTCTCAAGCTCGTACAGTTCTACCAGCGCATCGTAGCAACGCTTGCAGAGTGGCATATCGTCCCGCAGTTCTCGGTTCATGCGTCGTGCAAAGTGGAGCATTTTTGGATTCCTTACCGTGCTGTTGGGCGTCTTGAGCAAATGGTTGCCCAAGCCGCAGTATCGCCGCACGGCCACGCTGGCTCTACGGCTCGTTTCGGGTCTCATCTCCTATTCAAATTATTATTTTTTGGAGACGACAAACAAACTTTTGCGAATAAAATATACCCTCCTGACCCTCAAGAATATACTGAAATATACCTTGTCATTTTCATAATATACCGTAAATATACGGAGGAAAATCATATTCCTCAATTATGATATTCGATTTCGTATTTGAATCTAGTTAGGACTTTCAGCGGAACGGAGCAACATAGTTCGAGAAATTAGGTAAGTAAAAAAATTAAATATAGTAAAGCAAATCAAACGTTTTACATATGCGCGTCACTTGCCTCCAAATGACAATTCTAGATGCACTTTAAGAAAATGTTTTAGCCTGAAAGTATGCTACAAACTGCCAATTCGTAGGTACTTTAGATGAATATTGCACCATAATGGATTGTGATTTAGGCTCAAGCTTAGGTTAGCTTGGGACTGACGCTGCCCAGCGATCCAGACGGTCCAGGGAGCTCCGTTTTAGCTGACAGATCAGCTTGTGCCCACTGTTAAGCACACCCTACACTATTGCTACAAAAAGTGGTAACATTTCCCATAGTGCATTGCGAAGGCTGAGTGCCTAAGCCCCAAAAGCATGCACCATAGATTTGCGTGATCGTGAAATCGGGGTTTACTTTATTAATGGGTTCCACAAAGCCCTCAAGTCACCTAAGAACGTACATAATTAAATACAACTAATAAGGAACGATTTACTGTGATTAATAACAATTTAGATGCCCCTCACGATGCTTTGGCTGCTCTCGTCTCCAGTCTCCAGCATTCGCACAGTATCTTTCAAGTTTTCTGTGTCTCCTTTGTCTTCTTCTTTTAATATTTTTTAATTAGGGTTTTCAGACTTTTATCATTTTTCTTTCGCTAATTTTGACGTGATAATGTGCGCCACGAGTCTTGATATATCCTACGATAATACTCCAAGTCCGACTCGGAGTCGCTGTCAATGTTCAGATCGTCGATATTAAAGTCATCGTCCGTGTCAGTATCATATGAATCGGTATCGGTTGTGGAATCGTTGTCGTTGTCAAAACCTGCATTCTGGCGAGATTCTCTCTCTGCTGCCCCTTGGTCGCCATCAGGCTCGTTGCCACTGTAGAGGCGAAGATTGTCTTCGGTATAGTCGAATATGAGACGATGGCGCCGGCGTAAAAAGAGCTTCTGTCGAAGGTAGATATTGAGAAGGCCCTTGACCGCAATGAAGGTGGCACCGCCCAGCAGGTTTCGATGCAGGGAGTCATCCACACCCCTGAAGAAGATACCTCCGAAGATAGTTGCGAAAGTGGGGAGAAGAAGTGCACCGGCGAACACCCGCGCTATTTGCAAGGGATCCATGCCAATCGGAGGACTTGCTGAAGAGTTGTCTGTATTGGGCAATGTGTCCTCTGGTTCGGGAGTGGTTCTGTACAACAAGCTCAGGATGGGCACCTTGCGAAAGATATTGTGGCGACTGCGAATGAGGTTTAGCACGGCGTCCTCCCAGCGTATGAATCGCGAGAGCACCAGTGCCATTGGAATAAGGGGCAGACCGGCGGCTAAAACGAGCGAGTTTGCATTCTCAATGAGCGCGAAGCCGCGCTGATTCCCCATGACCTGGACCACAGTGATGGCGCCAAACGTACTGGCCGACCAGTAGATGGAGCCAAAGAAAACCGACGCAACCATATAGGGGCTGAAACGGCGGACCAGACCATGCGTGAAGTCGAGCACTGTGGCCAGGTGCCCCATCGGTGGAAAGACTATCATGTACTCCATCAAGCACTGCTGGCAGACGACAATGCGCCGGATGTTGCCTTTCTGTTTCTCGTCGATCCAGCGGTAGAGGCAGCTCTGGTGCACCCACTTTGTAGTGCCACGGCACTGGCACGGCTGCACCCACAGGGCCCGGTGGTTTTCCCCTTCGCTGGCAAAGCATATCCAGCATGTACGCTCCTGCTCCTGGTGCTCCGAACTACCTTCAGAGCCAGGAAAAGACTCCTGCGAGTTGGAGTCCCCCTGCTCATCGAAAGCGGCCATCCTGTGGAAGTGGAGGTTTGCCATCCCAGCACAAATAAGCACTAAAGCTTATTAATTGAAAATATAACCGCTGCAGCTGAAAGCCAAAAGGAGTTAAGAGCTAAACAAAATATGTTTGATTTCAAATTTTCACCTGGATCACACAACAAACTCAAAGACTGAAAATCGAGTACTACAGCTGACACTTCTTTTGGATAAATGTACACACATACTTACATTCTCGTACATTCACATATGTATGGCAGTGACAGCTCGATTGGGACGAATCTGGAGCTCTGACTCCCTAAAATTCGTTCCATCCATTCATGGCTTAAATGCAGCTTTAAGAGTTTTGTATTCCAACTCCCCCCTTTCCCTCTCTAAAAGACAGTAAAGACAGACCTCCGCCATCGCATAGCTGATTCTCAGCTCAATATATCAACAAAAATCAACAATATTCGCAATAATGGGCCATGAATGGAATGGGTAAAGTTTCGGGGGGTATAGTTTGCTGCCAAGTGTTGAAGATGAGTGAGAAACAGCTCTACTACTCGTAGAAGGGCTACTACAGAACCATTTCCTTTTTCTTCGATTCAGCAGGCCTTGACTTTGGCCTTGACTATTTAATTTTGTCAGCAGGGCCAGAGTCCAGACATAACAGTACAGCTCGTTCAACGTTTCGGTCGACAGATTCTCTAGTAAAACTGAGGTGTCATAAAATCAAATTTTTTCCGATTAAACATTTATTTTTTATTCCGGTTTTTGCTTTTGGTTTTTGTTGAACTGAACGCCAGCAAGCAGCTAACCTAGCAAATATATACAAACAATTCAGGAAGAGCCACAAGGTAAGCGTCCAATCGTCTCTGATTGAACTAAAAGCTAAGAATGAAATTCACGAAATCAGAAACAGTAATCAGGATAGTAGTTGGGCAGGACCCGCAGGACTTAGGACTAAGCAAAACAAATAGGCCGGACCCAACAGCAGTTGGGTAAGCTATCAAACTATCATCTGAGCATCTAACCAAAACTAAACAATCGATTCCCAAAATAGCCAATCAATAATTTAAAAACCAAACCAAACGAATTAATTTAGCGACAAGGCAAAGATGTCGGACAACAGCGCTGTGACTGGTGTGATGAACCTGCTTCTCTGCGGCGCTACTGGATTTGGATTCTGCAAGATTGGGCCTCAGGAGCATCCGTATGCCTTCACGGCCTGTGTGGTCGGCTTTTGTCATGGGCTGCTGGGCCTGGTGGCCAGTGTGTCGGGCGATGAGAACACAACCAAAGCCAAAGACGCAACAAACGCACTCATGGAGATCGTTCCACTGCCGCTGGTCAATGTGGAACTGTTTTTGGGGGCCGAGAGCAACAACATTGCCCTCGGCCATGGACTGTTCATTGTGCCACTGGCGGTCAGTGTGATCATAGGCTGGGCAAAGGACAGCGACGAAGGCGACCATGCAATCGACACTCTCAAGACCCTAACCATACTGGGTAACATTACGTCGATGGTCTATTTGGCACTCAACGAGAGCAGCTGGACTCTAGGCGGCATGGCCTTCCTAGCCTTCATGGCCAAGTTCGGCGCTACCTTCTTCGAAGATAAAGTTACCGAGGGAAGCGGGCAACCCGTCGCCTACATAAGCTGGGCCGGGTTTTACTTCCTCACCGCCATGGCCATCTCCGGCGAGCAGTAAAAACAAACCAGTTAATCCGATATTTACCATTTCCATTGATTGCGAAGCTCGCTTTGCTTCAACAAATTATTTGAGTAACTAGCTGCAATACCAAAATTCACTACAACCTGGTCTAAATATAATTATTTATCCTGGATGAAGTCTGATAAAATTTTGTATGTACAGCTGCAGGGGAGAGGTGCCGGCTTTGTTTCTGCATTATAACTTTTGACCAATTGCATATTATACAGACATATGTAAACCATATGTAAAACTAGAGAGCTGGTGGCAATGAAGCGATGAGACGCTTCAAAAAGTCCTCGGAACTAGTTCACCAACGACTATCTATAATTAATAAAAGTAAGCCATAACAATCAGCTTTCGATTTTATTTAACTGAAACAAATTTGTACATTACATAATAAAAATCTGTGGAGTATTGAGTTTGGAAACATATGCAGTTGACGCTAAAATGAACCACAGACTAAACTAGTTTGCTTGTGCAACCTGAACTTTGTTTCGATTTGCAGATAAGACGCTGCCAGATTGGAAAAAAAATCAAAATATATTTGTTTTATCTTAATTCCTTTATTTACAAAAATTTAGCAATATAATAAACATATTATTAAATAACCTCCAGACCCTTTATTGGGTTTTAAATATTTGATACTTAAAAACTATTATCAAAGGAATCTGAAAAGGCAAAATAAATAAAAAAATCAACTTTAAACAGTAGCTTTGGTTTGGCTTTAATGTCAGTCTAGTTACTACTCTCTAAGAAATAGTTTACCGTAAATTTAAAATTGTTTTATTTTTTTTATAAAATAATAGTTTTAATCAAAATGGAACCGAGCTTCGTTATTGCCACGATCATAGCAATATTCTGCCATCAAATGGAGCTCTACTATGATCCCGCCGGCTATGTGGGACTGGAGCCGACGCTCTTCATACTGATTTCCATTGTGGTACTAAAAAAAAGCTGCAGGGCTATCGGAAATCATACAAAACCCTGTGGGAGATAACGGCGGAGATAATTTTCATCTGCCTGACGATGCATGTTATTTTGGAGACCGTGTGGTATGTTCACTGCAGGCCATAGTGGAGGCTCTCTTCAATAGTGCACGCAGTTTGTTGAGTGACAAACACGTTGACAAACTGAACACAGTGCAGCCATTTGCATGGACCAGCTGTATGCTATCGGCTGAAATGGCTTTCGTGTTTGAGACCATCCAGATGGATGGACTGCAGTTGTACTTCGGTGTCATAGATGATCTCCCGTCAGAGAGTGTGCTGTTAATAGTGGCCGAGCAGAAGGCCAAGAACGAAAGGAGGGAGCAGCGCCTGGCCAGACAGCGGGACAGAGGATATTCCCGACAGCCACAAAGGAAATTAGTCAATCGCCACGAACCGCGTTCAAAGTCCTGGGCAAGTAGATAGACGGGGTAACAGAGGTACTACTGGTCTAGAAGCTTCTATTTTTCTATTCTTTAAATGCATCCTTTATGTGTATCAAAACTATTACGAAATATATTTCAACTTAAGGAAATTTCTAAACTTCAAAGTATTTTTTTTTTACCATCCAGCAGGTACCTATAAATCATTGGAGTAGAAAATACATATTTTCAATCCTCTTCAGTTGTCAATTCCATTCAAGAATCTTCGTTTAAGAAACGCTTAAGAAAATACACTCCAAGCTCTGCCTGCTCCATGGGCTTCGGTAATAATTTATTGCAATCACTCATATTTTAAAATTGCATCACAAAGGATGGTACACACAAAAAAAAAAGGAAGAGAGAGTGATAGTGATAGTGAAAGAATGAAAGCATTCGAATAAAACAGAAAACGTCGTGACAACGAATGGGCAAAAAATTTAAATAATTAAAATTTATTAAATAAAAAAATATACAAAACATATAGGTTTACGATCCCCCATGTGACCATTCGTTGCGATAAGTGTGATTATTTGAGCTTGTCCTATGCAATATTTACAATGCAGAGACATCCATCTTTGGGGGCTCCACAGGCTCAATTGAGTTGCCCCACACGGCGTATGTGGAATGTGTCATGTGGCAGAAGGATGGAGGATGGAGATATGCCTTTGGGCTCGCGACTTATGCTGTTTGCTTGTTTTTCTGTCCTCTGCTTGCTGACTCGACGACATTGCCACGCCCCGTGTCCATTGTCGCAATTAAAGCAAACCACCAGAGGCGAGTAACTAATTTCAACCGGCTCGGAAATTTCAAACGGGGCATTTCTGTGGAACACCCAAGGATATCCAGCGATTCCCTCAGCCATTCCCCATACCCCAATCCCCATCCCATTCGCACTGCTGCGGTGGCAGTTGAAACTATGCACGAATCCTGCGACGCCAGCGGAATGACTACCAAAATTTTAGCAAAAATTTATTTAAATGACCTTTTTCAGTTTTAGGTTAGCTATTTGTTTCGTTATGACCACAGAAGCTGCGTATCGTTAACGAATACGCAGATCAGTGACATCTGCTGGCTGTCCAAGTTTTCGTGGAGGTGGTCACAACTGGCAGCTCTCCCCTACTGTTTTAGAACCATATTTTATTTCACGTCACCAACGAGAGCCAACAAAATACGAGAAAATTACAGCCGGCACTTTCTCTGAATTTGTAAAAAGCAAAAAGCTTCCAAAGCAACTTGAAAGAACCCAACAATAAATAGACAATTTAGTTGTTTGAAATCGTATCTTCATTGATTCCAGTCCCGTCGATTATGGCAAGCATTAAGTAACCGAAATCGGATTTGCCACGCCCCCGTCTTTTCGTCTCCAACCGCAACTCTAGCCCCATCCCCACCCCCTATCATCGTCACCGTCACCAATTCCATGACAGCCATCCGCCAGCCGTTGACAATAAGAACTCATATATTTTAAGACATAATGCGAACATCATCCTCCCCGTGGTCTTAAGTGTGCCCCGTCCCAGCCTCAGTCCCAGCAGCAGCCCCAGCAGCAGCCCCAGCAGCAGCTCCACCTACTGCCCAGCTATGTATTGCTGGCGTTCAAGCGTGCTCAATGAGCATGACAACCAAAAAAACAGTTGTACATTTTTGGTCCCGTGTCTTGTTCATTGTTATTTTTATGGCTTAGTGCCAATGGATTTTAGGTTGAACTTAGAGCCGGAGTTACGTGCTAATTTCCCGACAGACTGACAAACGAAACCGAAACTTAAACTGAAATTGAGACTGAGACTGAGACCGACACTGGATGTGGAAGCAAAGCAGACAACTGGTTATTCCATAAATATTTCTGTTATCGCTGGTAATTGGCTGGCATTGTATGTCTTTCAGATCTTTTTGTCCGTCTCTTTTTATACCCGTACTCGAGGAGTTAATGGGTATATCAGATTTGTGGTGCAAGTTTCCATAAAGTATGTACATATATTTCTGATCAGCATCAATCATCATCCTCATCCCTCTGGGTATGTTTATATTTTATACGGTCGGGATTCCCGACTCGGGAATATGTTTTACGCACTCTGAGAGTAACCAAATTAAATTGCAGCACAGCACTGCCACTGGCACTAGCACTGGACGGACGCTTTGCCCAGGAAGTTACTTAATAATGCATATCACTCCAAAGGCAGAGGCAATTAAATATTTAATTTGTGCCATCGATTTGGCCGCGTTTTCCAACTGCGATCGATAGTTTTCATGATTCTAGTAGGGAATTCTTATCTGGGCTCTGTTTCTGTTGCTTTGCATGCATATTTCATAGGCCGCCGTGGAGGGAAGAGGGAATTGGCCAGGTACACAGTATTAGCATTAGCATTCAGCAGGCATTCAGGTTTTTCCATACCTCTCCCCTCACAAAAGAAAAGAATGTCTGATTCCCCCCAGCTCCTTCCACACAAGCTTTTGGAATGTGACTGTTGGAACTTTTGGAATTAGAATGTAAAGTGAAAGGAGTTCTACAGGTTAATACCATGCCAAAAGTCTCTGGCTCTGGATCGGACTCTGTCTTTGGCTCTGTCGTCTTCCACCTCAGTCTTCCTCTTCCCGGTCTCTCTCTCTCTCTCTTTCTTTCTTGGCTCCATACGACGCTTTAATAAATGAGGAATGACTGCATGAAAATTGCCCCGGCACGATACGGCACCTTATGAAAGAGCTGGAGAGGAAAGCAAAGATAAAGACAGAAACATGCAAAAATATTTACCAGCAAATACGAGTACAGCTGTATAGAAATTCCCATTCGATACTAGAACAAATTCAACAATATCCAAACGGGTTGAGAGAGCCACATCATCCCCTCCCCCCACCCATAAATTCCCAACAGTGTTTCCCCCTTCTCATGGCAGTCCCCAAATTAATGAAATGAAGGAGCGTCCCAGAGTAATTTGGGTGCCTGGCATAGTCGTCAAAAGAGGCGACAGATCGCATAGCTTAGCCATGGAACCACAGAGGCGATGAATTGCGGAAGCAGATTCTTAATACCGAAATAGTTTTTGTGTAGGATTAGCGGAAAATATTTTAAGGTGGACGGGCAGACAGAACAGACAGGGACAGAGACGGAGACGAAGGCAGAGCCAGAGTAGAATGGAGGAGATGGGCGAGTGGGCGAGACGAGAGATGCGATGAAGATGTCGCCTGACAACCGAACCGAGCACACAGCAACCGTCTGTCCCATCACAGAGCGCCTTCGCTTTTCCGTCTGGGTCTATTTTTGAGGCGACTAATCGCCCAGAACGCTGACAACGCCATCGTCAAACGTCGCCAAAGGCCGCCAACGCAGTCGCAGTCCGAGTACCAGTCCAAGTCCAAGTCCCAGTCATAGTCATAGTCATATTAGGCACACAGTGTGTAGATGCTTCTTCCACTTCCCATTCACATTTCCCATAACTTTCCATTTAGCATCTACCGATTCTTGGCCGGCCATCCAAATGTCATGTTACCATAGGACGCACATAAATTTATCGACATTTATGGGGAAAATTTTTCCATTCCATTCCGCACATAGAAAACGGTGTCTCCGGAGTAAATTCCACAAAAAAAAGCGAAATACAAAAACTAACATTTCCTGATGTGTATTTATTTTTAGACTTGCATGGAATTCTATTTGTCAGCGGCAGCGACATCTCATAGCTATATTTGTGTCTTGGCTAGATTTTCCCCATTTCCACTCGGTTCTATTTGAAAATTGTCTATTTTGTTTTTAAACAGCCGAATAATTTTACGAAAACGGGGCTAAATTTTCAATCCCTGAAACGGCGACGCCTCATCGCATCGGTAGAAAAATTCTTAAATGGCGAATTGGACAAACTGACCTATAAAATATAGGTCTTATGGGAATTCATTGGGGTACAAAAATTTGATACATACATATGTACATATTTACTTTTATAATAATAATTATTTATTATTTACTGGAACAACTTGCAGGCCCACGTGACTTCCATTGCCACGCGAAAAACTTTGCTTAGTGCACTTTGCTCAGTGCAAGACCATGGAACAGGGCAGGAGGGCATAGCCCGGTGGCAGTGCCACATTTAAGAAGGTGTGTGAGACTGTCAACAGGATATGTCTTCTGCGCTGTCGTAGTCCCTTTGTTGATGGCATAATTAATGCCTTGCTGTGACAACAGCTGCAAATGCAACATGGAGGCCACTCCCTTCCTGCTGCATTATTCCACCTTGGTCCGCCTGGCTTTCGGTTTTTGAAGTTTTTTATAATGGCACACGCTTTTCTGTGTTTTCGTATACTATTGCACAGTTTTCCATTTGAGTGGGAAACAGAAGCGGCATCCAAAACAGACGTGAAGAGAAAACTGAAAAGAAAAATGCAACTTTGATTGACAGCAGCTGAGTGATGGTATATTGGGGAATGGGGGCTACAGTGGACATCCCCAGGCCTAGGACAGGTACGAGAGCATGGAAAGGGTTTCCAGCTATTTTTAAAACATTTTTTTCCCATTCATTGCTTGACATTCGAGCAGGCCACTCTCCATGCCAGAGATGAGATAAATGAGAAACATCAAAGCTGGGGATGGTGGGTGAGGCCACAAAATGGATAGAAACGGAATTGAAATCAGATGAGTCCTCTTCCCGCTCTGAGAATTTAAATCAATTTAAATAAAATATATTGGAAATAATTTCATTGATAATACAAAAAAAATATTCTCCTGCAACGATTTCAAATATTTACTTAACTTAACTATTCTTTCGACTTTTGTTGGAAATCTAATAATCTTTTTGGATCTTGTTTCAAGTTGCTTAAGTTTAGTTTTGTTGTTGTTGTTTTTCTCCATGCCTCGAGTGCATCCAACAACCTAAAATTATTCAGTATACCAACCCGTCCCGTACCCAACCCACAAAACTACTTCACACAACTGAAATGCCTAACAATATTCCTCCACGGGTATTTCCTCATTTTACCACTACTTAAGTCCCATTCAGCCAAGCCCATCCCAAATGCAGGGGTGGACCTCCTTCTGGCCACCCACAAACAGCTGCGGGCCGTCGAAAGTGAAATAGTGGACCAGCCTAGGAAAATGCGGCACATTAATGCGAGTCCATTTCCCACTCCCAAACAGTATCCCAAACAGTATCAGCGGGAAAACCAGTTTATGCATTCGCCAAAGCAATCCGTTCCAATCGGTTCCATTCCGTTCCGTTCCGTTTCTAACCAAACTGCAGCCAGTGAGAAACCTGTCTGATTGCGACGCTTGAATGAATCGGTCTAGCCGCAGACCGAGTGACGGTCTTTGCCAGCATTGCGGATGCCCAGAACGAAGGGGAGCGGCATCGGCAACCGCGGAGTCATCGGCTTGATTTGGGGATCTGGCTGCTGGCTGCAGGCAGACGCTGAGGTGTGATGGTAAATCTCGAGGCGAAGGTGGAAGTAGAGGCAGGGCTGGAGATAGAAACTGAATGGAAGCTGGAGGCTAAGCCTAGGGGGGGGAAGCGAAAGCTGACTGAAAGAAAAGAGTGCCACAAGGTGAGGCTCTTAGACTGATGTGGGCATGGGCGGAGCTAGCGGGAGGGATAGGCATGTGTCCTAGCAACCGACGATCGTAGACAAAAGCTCCATGAATTTTTATTATCGTTGGTATTGTTGTAGCTTTTTTCTGCACTTTTCGCGGTTTCATCAGATACGTTAATTGGCCGCTTTGGCCTAAAGGGAAATGTAGTTGTAGCTGTGGCTGGAAAAACTTGTGGTGGTCGTCGAGCCCCTCGGGTACAGTGGCAACAATGTTGCCGGCGCGGGCAAACAGTAACAGCATCAAAAATTTTCATAAAGCCGTAACCCAGTGACACAGATTTGATTTGAATTGAATTGAATAGCATTGAATTCACTTTAGCAGCTGCTTGGGCTCTTTTAAGTGCCCGCCGATTGGAGATGGATCTAGATCTGGCATGTTCTGTTCTTCCGTGATCTAGTCCGATACAGGCAGATGTGAAGTAGAGCTGAAGGCACCTCAAAATATCCCAGTAAATTAATATATTCAAATTGTTCATCTAAACTTTACATACATATGTGTATTTTATTGTAAATTCTAGGACAGTGCCGTCCCCAGTGAGCGATCATTTAATTAAAGCGACATGACTGTTCACAAAAAATAATTGCTCCATTACCGATAACAATGGCAGCAGCAACAGAAGTACAGAAAGAGCCACCACCAACAAATGGCCCCAGAATGACAAATGCAATGAAAACGAGGAGGCGACTCAACAATTCTGCGTAAAGGTAAGCGGATAAAAGCACAGAACTACATGAATAAAAAATGTGTTTAAAAAATTACTCAACCACATGCAATTTCATTGATTGGAAGCCAGTATCAATTAGCGGTTGTGTGTGGGATACCAGAGTCAACATCAGCCACGAGAGATATAAACAAATTAAAGTGCATACTCGTACACACAAAAATGTGGCATTTCATTCATAAAACTCAAAGGGAACCAGCTCCGAAGTTTGAAATGCCCTTAACAGATTTCAAGTTAATTTAAATTGGAGATTAGATTGGATCAGATTGGAGATTAAATTTATTATTAGATTTATCAGATTGTGGCTGTTGGTGCTTGTTGGTGCTTGTTGGTGCTTGTTGGGGTTTTTGTAATTGGAGAATGTTCTCCTCTAAGCGATAAAATACTTTGACAATTATAAATAAGAAGAATAAAATATAGATAGCAAAATATAATAATAATAGTTAAAAATCCATAAAATTTAACAAGCAATCGCTTCTTTCTATGCTTCGTCTCAAGTGTAATCAAAAGAATACTACTCGTACGCTCGGAAAGAGTATTTAAAATGTTGATTGAAGTGAAATGCAATGCAGACCTTACGTGCAGACAGCATACAGACGAACATACATATGTACATGTGAACATACATACATATGTACATGCTAGTCTTACGTCACTTCCTCTATTTGTTGGCAGCCAGACTCATAGAGATAGAGAAAGATATAGTGGGAGAGGGAAAACAGATTACACGCATCGTTGGCGGTGAGGTTTGTGGCCTAAGTCTTTCGTTCCCATTCTTGACCTCGTGCCGCATTTGTAGTGGGGGTGATGCTGCTGCAGCGGCGAGGAGCTCCATTCAATTATCAACGTCATGCCAATCTGATCAAGAAAAGGCAGGGGGACAAAAACTTGCCATACCAGCTGACTTGACCCACTTTTTGCCAGTGTGTCATCGACCACGGCCTCCTACGGGTAAGGAAGTGAATGAAAAAAGTGTCCAACTGTCACAGCATTTTTTTTTTTTATCATCCTCGACCAGCAGCTGGAGTCTGAGCACAAATAGGCACAAATAGTGCTATAATAATACAAATTTGTTTATCTATCGATTACACTAGTCAACACGATTTTTCCTCAAGGAACAAAACGAACTTTTTCTTAAAGATTTGGGGCTTAGAAATGGTTTGATGATATTTTTTTTTTTCTATGGCAGAACTTTTTTTAAAGAATTTTTGAAAACTGGTATTTTAAGCTCAGAGGCTTGTTTTTTCACATAACTCAGTATCTTACGTCTGGTTGTAAAGAACTTTGTTATTTTGAAAAGATAATTAAAACAGCTAGAGTTAAGCCTAAGCCTTAAGCCACTTTGTGATTACAGCTTACTGTCTGGAAATATAAAGCATTGAAATGCAAAAATTATGATTTTTGTCGGTATTTTTGAAATTTTGACTTTAAAAACTCAGGAAAAGTCGAAAAAAATTATATTCTGTGCTTCAATTTTTTTTGTATAGGTGCACTAATTTGGCGTCGTTTAAAGTATCGTCATTAAAACATGAGAGACTTGGAGCTAAAATTCGTTAACCAAACCTAAAAAATGAAAAAATACTTTTTTGATGGTTGCGGGCCCAACTGCCAATTGGAAACAAAGCAAACGAAAAAGGGTTGTACATTTGGTACCTGATCGCGAACCTTCCAAAAGGTATTTTTTGTTCATTTTTTCCATATTTTAGGTTTAGTTAACGAATTTTAGCTCAAGTCTCTCCATAGATTTTAATGAGCTTGATTTTAATGACCTTGAACGACGCCAAATTAATGCACCTCTACACACAAAAAATTGAGAGAATATAATTTTTTTTCGACTTTTCCTAGTTTTTAAAGTCAAAATTTCGTAAAAACCGCACAAAAATCATCATTTTTGCATTTCAATGCTTTATATTTCCCAGACAGTAAGCTGTAATCACAAAGTATTTGGGCTTAACTTCTAGCTGTTTTAATTACCTTTTCAAAATAGCAAAGTTCTTTACAACCAGACGTAAGATATAGAGCTATGTGAAAAAACAAGCTACCTCTGAAAAAAGCTTAAAAAAAAAACCAGTTTTCAAAAATTCTTCAAAAAAAAGTTCTGCCATAGAAAAAAAACCATAATTCTTTAAAAAATTTTAAAGCCCCATATCTATCAGAAAAAGTCGGTTTGGATCCTTGAGGAAAAAAAAAGTTCGATTTTGTCGAGTAGTGTTATCAATTTTTCTGCGGGTAACCAAGTTAACAAGTTAACTTCACACTTCGAGAATTTGCTAAGTCTTTCTGGCTGTAGATTCTTCCCTCTGCATACCGATTGGTATTGGGTGCAGTGCATAAATAACTACGCAGAACTCCTTCATTTCTGCTTCATGCCATGCATTTTTGAATGCTGATGCAGTAATAACTCAATCAGAGGAGGAAGAGTCACGAAACGGGGCTCGCCGAACGTTAATGGAAATCCATTAATCCAATTAATGGAAATCATTTACCATAGCAAATGCTGTCGCCAAGAGACAGACGTGCGGCCATGAAGTTAGTGTGGTTGAAAACCATAATTCCGGGAATGATATGTTACACTGAGCACTATCTACATATTTCCTTATCCATCAAAACATAATAAACGAGCTAGAGCTAGAGCTGCTGAGATCTCGTTTTGCTCATTTCGAGTAAGATCAATCGTACCTTTAATGATTTTGGCATAATTTTCAAAAACAGTATGTATGTACACACGTACATACATGCATATATTTATGTATATGTACATACATAATTTAACATAATTTGTTTGATTCGCAAACTGAAAAAAGTCGTTTACGTCGTGGAACCTTAACGGACACATTTCGCTGTTGCGTGTGAGCTCCCCCGAGTGCTAGCACGCAACGACAGAACATTAAGCGGGGCATTTGACCAAATGGGGAACTCAGAAGGACCCAGGCCACAGTCACCAGGCCCCGGGCGCCAAACATCAGCCCCCATATCGCGTTGTCACGTTGTCAACATACTTGAGAAGCCCCATGCAACAATGTTGCCGCAACATGCGGGCAAACACAAAAGTAAAGACACGAGAAGCACTCAAACACTGGGAAACCACTCAAGAGAGCCAGAGAGCGCAGACACAGACACAGCCGACGCTGGCGTTGGATTTACTGGTCGTTCGACGTCGTAGCAAAAGCTTCATAATGCCGGTAAATGAATTTCGTTCCGAGAGAGAGAGCTTTCCGAGTTTTATAATTTGGCGCGAAGCAAAGCAGAATCTAAATTAATTTGGTCTTGGGCAAGGGCAGTGTCGGCAACTGGGGGAGGGCGGCTGGCACTGCTCACCACACTCCCTCCCCACCATTTTCACATTCTTTTGCTCTCTTTTTCACTCTTATATGTATGTATGTATACCAGAGGCCGGCAGCGTCGTATGCACTGTGCATAGGAAAAAATTTCGGGCAGCGCAGTCGGCACACGTACAGCGTAAAAACTTCGTGTGGTTTCGTTATTCTGCCTGATGACGTAGCGGCAGAGAAAATTCTGCTCTGCTGACGTCGCGGCAGAGAAAAATGCTTCGGGCTATGCACAAACGGCTTCATATTCTGCCCGCTTGCCTCAGCGGCAGAGAAGCATTCGTGTGCCCTATGCACAATTCTTCGGCTTTCGCAGCGGCAGAGAAATAAGTAACGTATTTGACTTCGTGTCTGTTGTTTTCGCACACAAACGCACCAAAAAAATGTGTGAGTCTGTGTGCCGACCCCTGGCGTAAAGACTTCGTGTGGTTTCGTTATTCTGCCTGCTGACGTAGCGGCAGAGAAAATTCTGCTCTGCTGACGTAGCGGCAGAGCGGGCTATGCACAAACGGCTTCATATTCTGCCTGCTTGCCTCAGCGGCAGAGAAGCATTCGTGTGCCCTATGCACAATTCCTCGGCTTTCGCAGCGGCAAAGAAATAAGTAACGTATTTGACTTCGTGTCTGTTGTCTTCGCACACAAACGCACCAAAAAAATGTGTGAAATTGTGTGCCGACCAATGATGTATACATACCATAGTAAGTAGTAAAACACATGACGCCATGACGCAGCCAGCTTTTGTTGTTGCTTTAGCTTTTACTGTGCTGGCAAGGAGATTCTTGTTGCTACACTGCACGAAAAAGATGCGTTCTTAAAGTGTAAAACAAGGAGCCTCCTTAACGCTGTAGCTGTAATAATGAACTAACAAGTCCTATTTGGATATGAACATATGTATGTAAATATACGTACATATGTATGTATATTAGGCAGGATAATTTGAATTTTAAGATCTTTTCAATTTTTCTCTTTTCCGTGTAAAGCCTTGCCTTGTTTGGAAAGAAATTGTTATTTAGATATGTACAGTTGTGTTCAATGAAATAGTAGTGCCACACCTCACTACTTTCAAAACTCTTTTTGAGACATTTCTAGTCCTTCAAATTGAACAAGTGATACCTTTACGGAAAGCCTGGAATGTAAGCATTAGAAACCTGAAGAAACCCCGTAACATTTCCATCTTCTTGTTTTTCATGACTTTAGACAACTACCCATGATATCTGCTGTTCAATGAAATAGTAGTGCTGGGTTAATTTAATTTAAAAAAATTAAAAAACAAACAAATTAATTTAAAAAAGTCACCACCCTTAAGCTCAATTTGATTATCGAATAATTTGATGAAAAAAAGTTTTGGACATAGCGGTACTTTTGATTTTGGAGCGTTGAAGAAATCATTGCTCGGTCCAGAAGAGGATACCTAAGAGTTAGGCTAAAAACTTAAGGCAGGAGGTATAATGGGATTGAAAATTAAGTTGTATGCACTCTCACTATTGTATTTAACCCAATTAACTAAAAAAAGAAGACTGGAAATCGATTTTGTATGCGAAAAAATTATTTTTTAGAGGACTGTCGGCGATGGTCGAAGGCAAGACCAGGCCTTTAATATCCTCAAAAATTATGAAAAAAAAATTTTAAGTCGCTCTGTCAGTGATGTGACGGTTCTTAGACGGTTGATTACACATTATTTGAATGCAAGAAGTCCCAGAAAGCTCCGCGTTTGGGTCTGAGAGTACATGGGTGCACGACTTCAGTTTGGAAAAACGCATGTGGAATGGCCTGTGTCACAGTGACAAAAATACTTTTGACTAAAGATAGTAAAGTTGTATTATATGGTAAGATAAACTCAAAAGATTATGTTTGGCATTCACAGAAATCCGATTACCACCTAAAATCATGAAAAAATTAGCATTGGGCATGCTAGCTGAGCCCTATGGGGCCCAGCTCTTATAAGCTAGTACTTTCTAGCCTGGCGTTTGAGTATATTTTGATTTGATTTTGATCGGAAAAGATCGACGTTTTGCCATGGCCAACTGTCCAACTGAATACAAATCTCATCGAAATCTTATGCTGGAATACCAAATACATTGTTGCAACTGCAAATCCGTCAACCAGAGCCACGTTTTAGAACGTGGTTCATGGATTATTGGCTGAAATCCTATTGAAGCGTTGGCAAGAGATTAATGAGCCATGTTCGGCCGGTGAAAGTTCGCAATGAAAACCAAATTGATTAAAAACTAAATATTAAAGCTCAGGAAACATGAAAAACATGATATATATGTTTTTATTTGAGATTCGTTCTTTTTTCCAATGTTCTAAAAAAAACACTACTATTTCATTGAACAGAATATTTCATGGGTATTCGGTTTATGTCATGTAAAACAAGAAGATGGAATTCAAATGTATGGATATTTCTTCGGTTTTCTAATGGTAACAGTCCAGTCTATTTAAAAAGGTATCATTTGTTCAATTTGGATAACTGGAAGTGTCTCAAAAAGAGTTTTGAAAATGATGAGGTGCGGCACTACTATTTCATTGAACACAACTGTATGTGTTTGTGTGTGGATGTGCCTTCGGCGTGGGCGTCGTCTGTGACAGGTCCCACGTCTGCCCCTCTGTCCCACTCACGCACTCTCACTCGCGCTTTGCCTCCCACTCTGTGTGTGAAAGGAAAAGTGGTTGCCATTTCTAACCTTATACTCCACCGCTACCAACATAATTGAAACAAAAATGGGCGAGGAGAAATGGAAACAGAAACAAAACTCAGACAAATTTAATTGTGGCGGCAGCGTCACCGACCTACATATTGTTGGGTGCGGAGTGGTGGCTTATGATAGAGAGAGAATTGGGTGGATTTGTATTGATTATTGTTGCTGCCACGCCCATGTTGCGAATATATCTTTTAGAAGCCCCAAGGGAATGAATATATTTATCAGACGGCGATAGGGGCGGTATAGACACGGAGAGAGTACATACATATGTACATATGTATGTATGTCCACAAAACTTTCGTAAAACATGTCAAATTTATAATTTGACATTTATGCATTCTTTATGATTATTTATTACGTTAAATGTTTGATTAAAACTGGCGACGACAGCAATCATCTTACTGAACGGACCGAACATTTCCCAACCCTCACCACTCAACCACCTCTCAAAACGACTGGTCTGGTCACTCTCTTCCGTTGCTACCTCTTAATTCATTTGCGACATTAATGGCTCCATTCTGCCCCAATTAGATAAACATGCAACAACAGGACAAACAACCACAATATATGTATGTCCATATGTAAGAGGCAAGGATTAAGTTCATGATCTTGAAATTGATTGTTGAAAAACCACAAAGATTATGCTCATGCATTTCATGTACATAAACCAAACATATGGTTTGATGTACATAAAGATTACCCAGACACTTGGCGGCATAGAGACAAGAAAAGACCCCGGACGGTTCCGAAAACGTGGCCGGGCCAAGCCAAGCCGGCGAGTCGGACTCTGAGTCCGGCCAAGGAATAATCAGTCGCAGAGAAACGAAACATACATAAATTACACAGACAAATGCACACCACTCAAGACTTCGTATATGTGAATGTACATATGCTTCTATATATAAAATCATTATCATTCATTTGAAATTTGAGATTTGTTCTCCCCACACACTCTCGTACTTTTTCGCTGATTTACTTGTTTTAATTTCATTTTAGCATTCACATTTTTCTCGCTTATTTCATTTTGTTAATTTGGTTTTTGTTATTGCTTCTTTGTTGCGAGGTTCAACTTCCGTCCTCGAACCTTGTCAAGTGCAGTTAAAATGTATTTTATGTGATATGTATGTTTCGAATAATATACTCGAACACAGTCGATCGAGTATGTGCAAGACTGAGGCAAACATTAGCTTTCAGTTGCCACAAACTCTGCTGGGGGGTGGGTGCGGGACACGGGCACTTCACCCAGAACAAATATATATAAAACTAAATAGTATATGTTCACCCCGATTTACATGCTGCCACATCACAAAAACAAGTCGTAAAACTCAAATTGAAGTCACGCTAAAAATATTACAGAAAAGAAAAAAACTGCGAGACATATAAAAAATGCTAACACTGTTTCTGTCGTCGTAAAAGTTTCGAGCAAAGCTGAAACTTTGCACACACTCAGTACAATACCCTTGGCCCTCAATTTATGCTAACGATTAAAATTTTATAAATGTATGTTATGTATTTTGTGTGAAAATCATCAGTTGCGGGATGGGCGGGTAGTTGGCGCCTAAATGTCGTTATAAGCGAGAAGGATGACAGCAATGGGAATGGGGATATGTAAGTACTTATAGAGAAATAACCAACATATGATTCAGCGGAGAGGAGTATTCTTACAGTGTGGCAGGGCCTTTGGGAATATGTAGCTTCTCCAAATTTTATCCACAGATCCACATAACTGATAAGAGCAACATTCAAAATTGTCTTATTGCTTATCGAAATAGAACTACTCTTAAATGTTCCTATAAGAGATCAGCAAAAGTTTACAAAAGAATTTCAGTTGGTGAGTGATTGTCGCAATACGACTCAGGGAGAAGTCTCATAAAAGGCTCTTGATAAGATTGCAGATCATACGAGATAAAGTTTTGAGATACAAGACAGCAGGGAAGACTTTTTTCTAGTAATGTATGAGTGCATGTATCCATTTACATATTTACGTACATAGTATTTGTAGGTATGTAATTAGTAATCAGTCAATCAGTCAATTCCCAAATTTTGTTACCCTGCTCGGCCAGCTTTTGTAGAAGTCTGATAACGAAACTTACACAAGTTTTTTGAGTGAAAGCTCAATGATCTCATTTTCGGCGGCTATTAATAAAATTATGGAATTTCATATCCCATCTAAACCATAACCGATTTCCTATAACTAATGCAAGTGTAAGTGTGTGCATACATACATATGTATATGTACATATATTGAAATATCTATAAGCGGAGTTTAGTTTCCTTATTAACTAATTTTATTGCGTTCTCTTGAATATTCTCATGTGGCTCCTCTTAATTAGGTACCAAGACCGAAGAATGTCAGCCAAGGTGCACGCCGCAAAGTGTTTTCACTCTGTTCTTTACTGTCTGTATGTACATAAGTATAAGTATAAGTACATACATACGTATGTATTTCCGTCCAAGACTTATCAGTATTCTTGGAATTTCTTTACGATGTGAAAAATCGAAAAAATAGTTTCCACTAAACGGAAGCATGTACTAAAGGGGTATATTCTATGATGTATTGTTCTTTGGGGCTATCCTCCGATTGGAGGTCTGTCCCGAGGACATCTTGTGCTCCCTCCAGAAACTGTTTCCGCTGTTGCTCGCTTGTAGTACTTCCATTTCGTTGATATGTACAATTTACATATTTAGGTCTTTGTTTATACTTGTACATATGTATGTATGTACATATGTTTGAATTGGGTTGTTATTTCGCTTTCTATTTGCGGCACTTGTTTAGCATTTTTACGTAATTTAAGATCGCCTTCTATTTCGCAGTTGTTTTTGTTGTTGTCCCTGCACTTTGTCATCCTCTGCTCTGCTCTGCTCTGCTTTGCTTTTGATGTCCATTGAGCGCGCTTGATGCGGGGCGTATTTTGCCAATGGGAGGTAGGTACGAGTATGTCTTGGGAACAGATGTTGTTTCCTTGATTGAAATTGGAACTTTGATAGGGTATGAGTAAGATGAAGGAATTTTTTCTATGCAAGAGAAATAAAGATATTGTAGCCCAGATTCGATCCAAGTACTACGATGATTAGTGCTTACTCGAATAATCATTGCATAATCTATATATTACCCTCAATGAACTTTGCCATTATCATCGACGAGCATCGGTGTCTAGGGTATCGTTTAGTCGAATTATGTTTTTCTATTTTCTGTTCTGCTTTTCTTTACTTTTCTGATCTTGTCGCTTTATCAGCGCATTCGAAATGTGGGAACCGAAACCAGAGCACTACTTAGCCCACGGGATGGACGTGGCAGCAGGGGGGACGCCTGAAATTGAAGATCAGAGCGTCTTGGCAGCATTTCGCCATCCGTTTTCCACAGCGCAACAGTTGACACCGACACCTGTCAGCGCTTCCCTGTGACTGGCCATCCCGCTGCAGAATGATAAGGCTACATTGAGAGGGAGAGTTCCAGTCGGCTCCTTCTCTCGCTCAGTGGGATCTGTTAATTAGAAATGCACGTGGCTTTTATTCTGCTTTGGCGCCTTTTCCAGCAAAGCAGCGCGCTCTCATTTTCGTACACGCCTCACCGGTCAATTGCATTTACAGTTGCAGCGATAAGCCTGGTCTCCGCGGGAATTGCCAGGTACGGGTACAGCGTAATAACCGCTTTCATACCCTTGCAGAGGCTACACCGACTTTCATCAGCCGCTTGTACCTGCACACTCCATGGGCATGGCCCGCTCTTTTTTCCATAAAATGGGATGACTATGATGGGATGATATGACTATTAGATGTCAATGCATGTACATATGTATGCACAGCAAGGGTAAATTAATTTCGGTGAATCTTTGTTTACTCTCTCTCCCTCCAATGCTCTTTCCTAATACACGTATGCATATAGCGGTACAAATATGCATATTCATGAGCAATATGCTCGTCTAATCATATGCAAATGGCAGAAACGCTTAGGCCTTAAGGGGAAAACATCCAGCAACTATTTATACGATACACATGTACATACATATATACATTTATACTGCACATAACTCTTTGACATATTGACCGATAAGTTGAGGTTAGTCGCAAATGTTATACTCATTTATTTTTATACAAACCAGATAACTTTGTCCGGTTGCTAATCCCCATGGAATTGTCCTTCTTTTCGAATATATTTTTGGTCAAAAAAAGTTTTATTTCCATTCCCGTAGGATTTGCATTCTATTAAACTTTTCAATCATACATATCTTAGGATTAATTCCAGCCTGAATACCAGAAATAAGAAGACCTGAGAGTCGCAAATTTGTGTTACCCAATATGGCTTTAAAGCCTAAATTCTAAAGGAAAGCTTGTCTGAAAATATGTTTTCATCAAAGTTCACAATATTATTTATTATTATATATTATTATATTATTTATAAATTAAAATTAGTTGTTTCAATAAATTTAGAACATATGAAGATGTCTGCCAATACAGTTTAAACAAAAATCAATTTTTTGTATATATGTATGTACATCTGTTTTCCTGTATTCATCGTCTTTCTATGCTCGTTCTTTCTAAATGGATAAATAATTTGCAAACAGCATTTGACTACTAATTGTTGCTGCTGTTTGCTGTAACTCTCGTATCTCTAGGCCAAAGCTACATCGGTAGAAATATCAACAACCAAAGTCAAGTTCATAATTTCAATTTTTCAAGGTTTTTGGTAAAAATTTTTCAACAGAAAGCAAAACAAAACAGCAGAAAGAAATAAAGAAAAATAGCGAAACAAACAAAATAAGTGTGCAAAAAGTAAGAAAAAGGGGCAATGGATGAAGGGGCTGGTGCTGGGGCTGGCGGCTGTGGCTTGTGGGACAGCAGAGGCAACAGCGAAAGTATTGACAATACAGCTTTTGTGCTTTATTTCACTTCTCTTTTTCGCCGGCTCGGCGGCTCCCATTCTCCGCTCATTTGTTTTGCTTTGGCCTTTTGTTTTGGAGTATTTTATGGTGGGCCAATAATTTACGCCGTCGCCATATACACCGACCGCACACACAGCCACAACTTCACACTGCCACCACACACAGTGCTGCTCGAAACTGTATGGCAGTTTCAAATAAGACTTGAAATTCACACTTATGTATTTGAATAATTCTCGGGCATTTCACGCGTAATGTAATGCGTAAATTCTTCCGTTTAAAATTAGTCATACACACAGAATATGTATAATCTTTCGATCGTTCCACCTGTGGAAATGAGACTGTTTTCTGATAGTTGTGGAGATTTGGTTGAATCCAGCTATCCTTTCTAGACGAATCTTGCCAACAACAAGTCATGAAATAAAGTCAGTGTTTTTCCATATATTTAAATATCGTACTTGTTTATTCCTATATTCTTGACCTGAGCTGTACCTGGGCATCAATCATTCACACAGACGAATACTAGTACATATATTGTACACATGGATATCTCCATTAGCGATCGGTTAGAGCGGTAGACTTGTATTCGGGGGGAAGTTGGGTAAATTCCCCATTGAGTTTCGAAGAAATTGCTTTCCCGTATAGCCCTGGCGCCGGTCGTCTTCCCGTTTTGCGATAATTTCATGACAGTTTCGGTGAGAGAGCTAGAGCGAGGGATTGCAAATGATACAAAGTTTGCTCATGGCGTTCCAGGAACTAATACAATTAGCAGTTGTTTTCCCAAGAAAACCCCTTAAATCTGGTCCCGTCCCCCTACACAGTGCACTGCGATATGCGTACTATATTATTATTTATCTGTCTACACAAATACTTATGTACTTACATATCAAGTCTCGCACACATTTTTACATACAAATGTAGCAATAGACGAATTCGCTGTAAGAGAAGTTTCCCTTCAAAGAACTGAGTCATTGGCGGTGGTGACGCCACGATCTATTCGGGCATTCGATTCTGATCCGTGTCAAAGGGGTAAGGTAAGCCTAGTGAATGAATAAACTGAATGAATACTACAAATAACATTTCCATTCTTCCGATGCACTTGGATTACTCCCAGCCCGTATATCTGTATAAATATTTGCTTGGCTTTCAGCACAGCAATTGCTACTGTTCCCCGTCAGTTACGATTGGCAGAAGAACCCAATTCTTTTATGACAGAGCAGTGTAAATACTGTTTGTATATGGGGAATTTGAAAGCTAGAGCAACCAAGTTTTGTGTGACAGACTCCTGTGATAGTATGTTTCCTGCTCCCTGCTAACCCTATCCCCTCCAGCGCTGCAGTCACTATTTGCTATTCTCTTTCTCGCTCACACACTCTGCCGACTCTGTGCGAACTCTGTCGGAGGAGACGTATAACTTACATTTAATATATAGATGACAGATTTAGCAATCAAATTTTAACTCATAAAATATTTTTTAAATTCCATAAAAGTAGAGTCGCGGCTACAGAAGCGACTCGCAACGTTCCTCCTCGTTTTTCTGTTAGGTTTTGGCTTCTAATTAATCTCTACGACGACAGCTTGAACATTCGCTAGTATCAACGAGGTCAGAAAACGAATCTAACATTTTTATGAGTACTAAAGACGCATCAGCCAGAGATTTAGGGGCTATCGCTGAGCTGGGAAGTGCTGCTACGGAGATTGGAGATGAGATCGATCGCTGGATTTCCGAGGTAATGCGGTCTACGTTCCGTTTGGCGTGGCGTGGCGTGAAACGAACATTTTCAGAAGGCAGACAGCTCTCATGCCTTGCAGCAACTAATTTAATTTGGGTTAATGATGTTTGAATTCGAAGACCACAAAATCTTCCTTTATTTTTAATTTTTTGCTGATTCTTCGATTTTCTTATTTATATTCGCTTCTTTTTTTTGCAATGTCTTCTCTTATCAAAATTAGGTCAAACTTGATGTAGGCACTTTTTGTTGATTAGATCGAGGAAAAAAAAAGCAGAAGAATTGTTGGTAATTTTTTGTGGCTGTTGCCAGCTCTGTGTTGTTGCGATTGCCTTCTTCTGTATGGCCTGCAGAGGGGATGGCAGCAGGGTTGGGGCTGGCTCTTAAGTGAATGATAAGAGTGGCTGGTGGTGATGTTGGTGTTATCAACAACTACAACAATGAAACAAATCAGTTTTCCTTGAGCGGTGCTGGAGTGTTTGCTGTGTGCGCGCCACAATCACGCATCACGCTTCACCCTCACCCTCACCTTAGCCACCTCCACCTTCACCACTCAGCAGCGGCGCCATACCCCCTTCGGGGCGATATTTTTGTGAAATTTTCTTGGTCTAGTTAAAGCATAGAAATGATAGTTTCTGTGGGCAGATAAAATATTTTTGCATTGCGACTGTTAATTGAGATAACGGGACATACTGTAGTATCATTTATATGCTCACTTACACAAACACAAACATATACACACAGTTGCAGATATAGATAGGAGTCACATGCGAAGCATTCTTTTTTTTTGCGACTGGCTGGAATACTGAATGCCATTCCCTAATTTTGATTGGTGATAATTTTTCGGTCTTATCAATTTCGTGCCATTTAGCGGGGATTTCTGTGCAAAAATTACCAGTTACGATGAGGTTTGCGTCTCTTTTCTTATGAATATGAGTGTACTGAGTAATTAATAGACCAACTTCTAGCAGAAGGAGTAATCACATATGTATGTATGTACCTACATATTGTTTTAAGACATCTGCAGCTTCATTAACCCGTATCCACATTCCCCACTAGTTCTGGCACTCAGGGAGATCGATCTCGTTGCCCCTACGTTGTATCAATCCATCTATACGTCATTCAGCTTCAGCTGGCAATCTACAGAAATTTATTTATGGCAGAATACTAGAAAATACTGTTGCCAGGCAAATTACCCACTGCCCGGCAGCCGATCCAACACTTTGCCCAGGCCTTATCAAGCACCAGACTTTCATCACTGGCAGCCAGTCAGCCGGGCACGTTCCGGCCAGGTCTTCTGAATTTACACTGAGGTGGAATCGGGAGGACGCCAGACTTCTGTCCGAAAAAACTGAACTGAACTGAATTGGGTTTTGGATTGTGAAATGCATACAAAGGCGGCAAACGGGAGAGTTTTGGCTGCCTGATTGATACCCAGATTATGGTGGGCCAGTTAATCGCATGCCTCGAGTGCTGGGTCGACTGTAAAATTATCAGCTGTTTACCATTAATTACATGCGCGTATCAAGCCGTATATACGAATCAAAATTTCCTAATTTCCCGTTCGTTACTCATACGCACAGTTGCCGTGCCAAAAAATAAAAAAAAAACCGCTCGTTGAGCTCAGGAGGGAGTGAAGTGGAACAAGTAGTGCTGCTGATTACGTTACGCACAAATCTACGCACGAGTGTGCGCAAATAGACTTTATAAAACTAATCTCCAACGGGCGCAGGCAGATTGGAACAAGGCACGGCGGAGCTGGGGTATACGGGGAATATGTTTGGTGGTAGCCTGCTTGCGTAAATATTTCAAGTGGCCTGGACGTCGGCTGATAACGAAGGGTCCGGTGGGGAAAAGGCATGGCAGCTGATTATAATATAATTATAGTTCTTAGCAACCACACGCACAAGCTGCCGACAAGATGAGAAAATGTCATCACTATCAGTCACCGCTTATCAGCACTGCTCTCTTTATGCATATGTACGAGTATGTACATACATACCTGCCAGTGTATGGAGCTGAATTCAGCTCTTTCAGCTCTGCCTGCCTGCCCTTCTCTTAATTAGAGTACAAATTTTAACTCTTGACGCTCTGTGGATCCACCTGTGAGTCACTCCAAAGATCTTATCCGGTGGATAAACCAACAAATTGGCCCATCCAAATCTACTCATGCTACCATGGCCTGCAAAAGTATCTTGGAGATACTTTGCAGTTAAAAATGTTGCTGTAAAACTTCCATATTTGAGGTAAATATTCTTGCACTATGCATATCTAAATGGAGTTCTTGTAGCATAGGAATCTATTTAATTTGCATTCAGCTCTAAGAACTTTACGATCCGAAGCAAATTTATCTCCAAATTACTCTCCCACAGAGCTGCGTGGTCATGTCGTCCATGAGCAGCGGACATTGCTCAACGATCCGATGAATAATATTCACACTAAGTGATAAGTGATAAGCCATATGGCCCCATCGCACTTCAAATGGACTTCTGGCTCCCTAGGTCTAACAGGCGTCGATAGGCTCGGAGATACTCTGCCACGTTTACAACATTCGAAATGGGTAATCTATCCACAGTTAGGGCTAATTTGCTCGCTTTTCAATGATTCCGGCAATGGGATCGTGACCTTTCAGCACTATCATCTTTCGAACCGATCTCTGTAATGATGTTTTAGTTCCCCGAAAATTCCAACAAATGTTTGCTTATGCGACATGGGTGCCTCTATCTCTATCTGAATATTTTTATACATTTCCACAAGACGAATCGTGCATACATTAAGAGAATCTGCTTTTGCCTGTCACTGGTCTAATGCATGACATAAATCTGATCTGATTCCCAATTGAAAACGTTTTTGTTTGGGGTGCTTTTCGTTTGTATTCCATTTTTCATTTCGCAAAGAAAAATTAAATTGCGTCAATTGAGTGGATCTGTCGAATCGGAATGGATCGGATCCGATCGAAGTTTGGGACTCATGCTGCATAATGGGTCGGCAAGGGCTGTACATTTAGATGATTATGCCGATGGTTCGTCTACTGATAAGGGCCCTCACGTGAGGCCATGTTTGATTCATGAAAATCATAGGGTAACACATAGTCGAGAGTGGCTGTATCTAAAGCGAGGGGACATCTGTTTTCTCGCTGTTACATGTCGGCATTTACGTTTGCTGCTATCAACAGTTTCGAGTCACATTCCGTCGCGTCATTTGCATACACTAATCGCCCCCGAAGCCCACCATTGGTCGAGCCAACTCCTTTGCCTATCGTTGCTCTACAAATTTCTAGAGTTGATTATTATGGAGCACCCCTAAAACAGTCCTCCCTTGGCTGATGATTGGACACCCCATTTGACAGCGAGCTTGATGCGGATTCGCACTTTTGGCTGATCGAAAATGGCTCCACGCCAGACACCACCAGAAAAGTTACACCCCATCTTACACCCACTCGCCTGACACAGATACATAAATGTACATACATATGTATGTATGTACGTGCCAAAGAGCCATCGGACACTTTGCATCCTCTTCAACAAGATCAGTTTCGGGTTGTCCCGACTTTTGCACACATTTTTTCGCACAAAAACTATATCCTAGAAAAGAATTAAAGCAGCGCCACAGAATTGGAAAAGAAAAAAAATAAATGAAGATAGCACAAGAAAAAGGTTGAAAACGCGTGTGACCCAGTTTATTTTCTATAATCACCCCTGCCTATGTACATACATATACACTAAGATATACTCGTTCATACATATATAGAAATCATAAATAAGATTACTGATTACTGGCAGTCGCCAGAGCCGTTGTTCGTAAACTATATGTCGCCGTTGCCAACTGCCCCCTATGTTCTTGCCTGAAACTTTTAGCTTTGGGATAGGTATATGCACATACATATACATGTACATATGTATGTACATTGGTGTACATGCGTGTGTGTGTCACTATACCCGATATAGCAGGTCTGTGGGTACCGTACCGTACCTAAAAATGGACCCGAAAAATACTTTCGATTGTCAATTGAGTGATTTACGTTGGCTTTTTGAGAATCGCAAAGAGTATGACTACCAAAAAGAATTCGCATGCAAGTTTTTTTTGGAGTTATGCTCATAGCAGTGGAGGAGGAACAGCTCAGTTGCTTGTGGTGGCAGGTCTGACCTAGCGGGACTAAGGTCCGTGGTAAGAGTCTGTCTTTCCAATCTCCGTTCTAGAAGTTATGCAAGCACCCAGGAACAACTTGGCACTGGAAAAATCTCAATTTGTTATGCTTCATCGTCGAAGGTTGATGCTTCGCCAATATGGAATTTCTATAAAAATGCATTTGGACTCATGCGGCAGGGGAGTGCGCAACCGAATGCAAACTCATCGCTGATACAAATAATATACATACATATGCATATAATATACTCGTAGTTATCGGAGTTTTAGCTCCAGCAATCCAGTTTTTAAGCGTTTCGTTCAGTTTTTCGTTATAATTGCATATGCAAATTTTGTGTTAAATTCAGTATTTTAAATGCTGGGGAATAACCACACCAAAACTTAAGTCGCAGGAACGGATAGCACAGTTTATAAATGTAAATGAAAATGAATGAATTCTGCGGGTTGTCGTCTATGTCGACCATTTTGAATGAATGGCCTGTGGAATGAATGACTAACTGACTGTATGAGTGATTGCGAAGCACTCGTACAGCAACAGAAAATAAATGAACGAAAATTACGCTTGATTTGAATTATGCAAATGAGGCGTAAAAGCCGCCACTATTAAAATCACCGAGCCCCCTCTGCATCCAGCCATCGCCTTCCAGCCCCCCCAATTCGACTCCAGCTGCCATTGGGCAATTGATTAGTAACAAAGACAAAAACAGCGAAACGTAGTGGAAGGAAATTGCATAATTTAAGAACATGTTCTGATACATGTTCTGATACATGAATGTGTACCAACGTATGTACATATGTACATACATATGTATGCATGTGTACTCATGTAATTTTTACAGATTTGACTTTCGGCGTGGTTTTAGTTTGGTATTAGTGTGTATTTATACTTTGGCCTTTTTCTATATTACTATTTCTGGCAAATGCTTATCCGCATCTATGTATGTACATATGTATCGAAACGTTTTAGCCATCGCTAAATCACACTTATTTTGCAAAAGATACGATTTGATAGAATAGAAATCAAATCTAATGTCCACACGTGTAATTAGATATTTCTGTTTTCTGGGGTACTTGTCGTTCGCTTTCTCGGTTTTCTTGATTTCCCCACAATATTGAAAATGCCCGACCCATGCGACACGACGCATGCTGCAGTCGCTATCGACGGAGGCACTAAAGACGACGCTGGCGTTTTACGTCGCTGCGCTGCGCTGTCAACGCTGGCGTTAGTAATGTGGTAAAGGTCTCGCACGTGTAACTGTTACACAGACGAAGACGGAGGGAGGGAGAGAGAGCTGCTGGGGAAGTGAAACTATTTATAATACTGCATTACAATGTTGCCAGCTAGAAACTGCGTAAAACATTTTTAATCGCACATGCCAATGACTCGTGTTGTTGGCCCTGTCACTGGCAGTGTGGGGGTGGTGGTCGAAGTGGTGTTTACATCACCCAGCCACCGACATCACACAGCCATGTGCAAATATTTCGGCGCATTACAAAATGTATGAAAATTTAATTGGAGGCCACATTGGTTGATGCTGTAGCTATCTGGGTAGAAAGCAGAACTGGGTGGCTGGGTATTGGGACTACTTACTCATCTCCAACAATGCAAACTACACACACAAAAAGTCAACTCGGTGGGTGACTGAGCCAATTGCTATATTCAAATTAAATGAACTGGTTTTTATCTTAATTGTATCAGGGATTATCCGCTGCCATATGCTCATAAATAATGTTTCGCAAATGATTTGATTTATTGTGCTTTGTCGGCCCCTCAAAGACGTGGCATGTCTTAGGCCCTACTAAATTCAAGTGCTATTATTGTTTGAAATATTAATGGAACTAAACTGAACCAACGTTCCCCATTTGCATGCCCCATTCCACATCACCTTTTACTCGGATGATAGTTCTCATGACATCGGAGCCTGCATAATGGCCTTTGAAATGACTTTAAAGTAAATTTCTGGGAAGTCTTCTGGATCGAAGCGGAAGTTCAGAGTGTTAAATTCTACGAAAATCAAAATTATCGTCGTTAGTCTGCATCTTTTTTTCTGTCATTAGCGGCTGGGTTGCCAGTTCCTGCATTGATCAGACAGTAAAAGTCCCAATCTAAATGGCGCCAAGGCGTGGCTTGATCTCTGAGGATCCCTCAGGTTTAATAGAAAAGTACTAAAGGATTTCAGGAATGCTTTTAAAATATAATCTAAAGCAATTTCTTGACCCATCTGGTCACATTTTCAAATTATCCCAATTTCCCTCTCAGCTCAAGTACTGTACGTAAGAAATCTTCTCAATATCCGCTCAATCCGTGCTTCCCATCAAGTTCAGCTTCTTCTGCCAGCCTTGCGACAATCTGTTCATATATGAATCACATGAATCACGGCGTCTGGGTTGGTTTGGTTGGTGGGCTAGTCGATGTCGATGCTACGATCTGGAAACTTGTCTGCGGCATTTGCAATAAATCCGGCAGGCGGCGATCATGTACAGAGCCATGTTGTACATGCCTCGACTTCGATTTTCAGTTGTCGAAAATTCGCACATTTTTTCCCTTTTCGATTACGGCTGCCGCCGCCGCTGTTGTTGTCGATTGGCCTTCCCAGGCCCCAGTGCGTGAGTGCGTGTATTGTTGGGTTGTCATTGTCATGTAGCCGGCAATTAAAATTGGTCCCCTTTGGCCCCTTCGCATTCTTCCCCCTGGGTCTGGGCCACCACACCAACTCCTCTCCAATTGGCCAGGGCAGCTGTTAAATAATTTATGAAGTGCGTAAGGCCTCTGGCACGCATTTCAAGCAGTTCCAGAGCTCAACTTGACTCCGACCAAATATTTTCGCATCGCACACGCACTTTTTTTGGGTTTCGTTGTTTAATTTTCAGCGTCTTCTTTTTGGGCGGACTTGGTCTTGGTTTTGGTCTTGCGAGGAGCCGGAAAAATATTTGGCCACGCAGGTTTCTTGTTGCTCATTAAACATTTTGGTTACATTTTGCGATCTGCATGCAAATACCGCTGATTAGAACGAACCGGACCCCAAAGTCGGACAAATGAAGGCGCCGATTACGGGCCAGATTGGCCAGCCATAAATCAATAAGTAACCAAGACACGCCACGCTGACAATACGATCCGATCAGATCCACACAAGCCAAATGGAAACTGGAGCTAAACCCAAGCCCAAGCCCCTACACTAGCGCCGAAACCGATATCGGCCCATGCCGGGGTCATGCTAGCTGGTCTGGCCATGATGGGTCTGCAAAGGGCTCGGCCAAGGGGTCGGTCCGTCGGTCTTCCGGGTCCTCCCCGCTCTGGCCATCTTTCTTGGCTGATCACGATTGCTCGCTCAACCTTAGCGCACAGTCAGGCAGAGTCGGAGTCAACGTCAGAGTAGGAGAGGGTTGAGGGCTCCTCGTCAAGTGTTAAGCTACCACAGCCATACATATAAGCAGATAGAGAATCTCAAGTCTGAAACGTCCAGGCATACTACTCTGAGCCGAGCCTGATTAATTATGAATTGAGTGTCTGCGTTGCCTGCACTTGCACTTCTGGCACTTCTGGTTCTTTTACATTTTAGCTGCACTTGCCCGATGCACTTGCGGCACTTTTCATATTTTTACGCTTGCAGAGTTCGCGACGCCGTCGATGGATGACTTCATATTGTCTCAGTGCGGGAAAAGGGGGCTGGCAAAGAGGAGGCATTCGAGCAACAACTTTTGACACGCTATATGCCACCATACACTGTACCAACCAGGAGTGGACCCCAACACGATCCAGTACTTATTCTACTAATAAAACTTAAGAATAGTAAATAGTACAATAATTGCATTGCACTTCTCTCGCAGCACACTGGATGGACCCAACCGATCCAGAAGATCCGCTCCTGTGCTCGCAAGTAGGAGTACACTTTCAACGGCTGGGCATGCACTATTGCTCAGCGGCACGTCGCAGTGTCTTTATCATATAAACGGTACGATTTAAATTAATAATTAAACCCTGCTTGCGGTCTTTGGTCTGGTCGTTGTCTTGGTCTTGCTGATGGTCAGGCCATCTGCCTTGCAGGTGGATATGATGTGGATTAAGCTGCCCCCTCGATGCAATAAATCAACGGGGACATTGGGCTTGTCCAATGTGTGCAGCCAAATGAAAAGTTTCCTCCTCACGCGGACTGTCTTGTCTCGTCTCGCCTCGCCTCTGCCCGTCTCGTCACCGGCCCAACTTATCTCATCTCAGCGAATCCATTAGCCATACGGGAGCCAAACCTCATTACAAACTGGGCGGTTCATCACCAGCGAAAAATAACTTATCATATAGATTGGTTCTGTGCAGTCTTGCTGCTGATCTGGTAGAGAGAAAAGTGTACAGATCCCACCAGCTTCCTTTTATTATCTACGTATTCTCGATACTCTCAGACTTTCCTGCCAGTTTTTATACAAGCCAAAGCCAAAGGGCTTTGCCCTAACAGTCAGACACAACTGCCGTACTGAGATGGAGGTACATAAATTTGAATAACACTAAATTTTCCGTGCTCGCTATTAAATCCGTAGCAGACCTTGCAAGGCGAAGCATAGACTAAATTGATAGGATACCATCGAAAGGACCATGCGACAAGCTCTCTAGAAGGAGCAGTTCCAAGTGGCAGGGTTCCAAAGACGCAACATTAACAAACAAAAATCCAAAAAACCCACTGAGAATGCTGGTAATGGACGCCCTCTTCAATAGTCTGCTCGTGGTCAGCTCCGGCTATGCAATTTACACCTTGCATCCGCTGCAGACCCCGTACGGATATGGGGCGGCAACCCTAAGTCTGATCCACGGACTGCTGGGCGTGGTACGGGCCACCCGCAATGATGACGACGACTGCAATCGGTTGCGACTGATCACGTCGGGAGTCATGGAGATTGCTCCGCTGCCCATAGTCAACATAGAGCTATATCTGAAGTCGTCGAGTCCCAGCCTGGCCTTGGCCCATAGCTGCTTTTTGGTGCCTCTTGCCTACGATATTCTCGCCAAAATGGGCGATAACGAGGACAGCTCCACGGAATCGCTCAAGGAGCTCACGCTCCTGGGAAACCTGGTCTCACTGCTCTTCCTGGGCGTCAATCAGTCAAGCAATATGTACGGAGCCATGGCCGCTGTGGCCTTCGGGGCCCGCTACGGCTCCCTGATACTCGAATACTACCGTGAAGGTCTTGGTTCTGACTTCAGGCTGCTGGCGAATTCCCTCTTTATTGTGCTGATGACCCTGACCCTGTCGGCTAAGTAACTATCAATCACCACCCAAATCCTCAGCACTGTCGGGACTCCATTAAAAACCCATCCAAAACCCCTTTTTCGCCAACTCAAGGCTGCGGGCTTGCGGTTCATTGGCTCAACAATGGCTCAACGGCGGCTCAATAAACTTGCAATTAATGTTTGCAAATTAAAATTCAAAAATAAACATTCATTGTTTTGTCCCACACAAAAAATTAAGTGTCCCCCATCATCACCATGATACTCCTCACATCCAGGCAATCTACTGTCTTGAGCGGGAGCAGCTGGGAATAACACTGCCTCAATTTTCAACGTTAACGGGGCCTTTCCGTGGATGCGCAAATAAGTTGAAAACTTTTGGATAATGCTCGTAATAATTCCTAAGAAGGAATAAGCGGTTACACTAAAAGAGATTTAAAGTTAAGGAACTCGTATGAATGTGAAATTAAATAGAAAGCAAAAAACATGTAGATCATGTGTGAAATTAGTGTTTATTCGTGTCGAAGAACCGAACCAAATTGCCATCCATACAATTCCAGCAAACATTACTCAGAGATCCTCGGCCCCCGGAATAAGGGGACCTCTAGGACTTAAGTATCGCTGCTATTGGGCGTTAATCTTTTGTGGCGAAACGCTAATGAAACGGCGCCATAAAAAGGGCTAAGTAATGTGCAGAAAAATCCCGCGAACAGGGAGGGGCAGCGCGGCTGGGCCAAGGTCGGTGCCCAATAATTTATGCATTTTAATTTATTGTCCGTTTTTTGGGTCTGGTCCTGTTCTGGTTTTTATAATGGCTATCTCGCACAGTCCCCCTCCCACTTACATATGTATGTGCGGCACCAATCATTTCAAAATTTGCATTTCGATGAATCGCAAAGCTGCTGCCTCCCTATGCGGTGGTAGAGTGAGACGGAGACGAGGAGGAGACGAGCATACGAATGCGCCAAACAACAGACAAATTCATTTTTCAGTTAAAAGACGATCCATTTATTTTATGAATCAAAGCGCAGGAGGAAATACATATCCCAGCGTCGGGAAGAAATAACACAAAAAAAAAAACAAATATACAAAACTTTGAACCGCAAAATATTATAAAAATTTATAAAGCAGAAAAAGAAAAGCGAAAAAGCTACAAAAATCAACAGAGACCGAAAGAGAAAAACAAAACAGAAGGGCAAAAAAGGAAACGGCGAAAAAAACGCGCGCACAAAACTGCACGCCAAATGCGCGCCGGCGCAGCGACGTCGCTTCGAGTCTGTCTTCCGCCACCCGGTCCGTCCCACTTGAACCCGCGCTGCTCCCACAGTCTCTCGGACAAGTTCAAAAACCTGCACTCTGTTTGTGGTGCTGTGAGTCAGCCGCCGCAGTCGGAGTCGGTTAAAAAAGCCGGCCGGCATTGGCGCAGTCTTGTTTTTTTCCATTTCTTCCTCCTTTTGCTCTTATGAGTATTTACTAAAAGAGACGACCAAAAAGGAAAGATACGTATATACTAGTATTTATGTATACATACATACGAGTATGTACGTGTCTGCGATGCTGATGCTGTTGATACCCTTTCGGTTTGTTTGTTTATGTGCTATTTGATTAAATCGATTTGAATTTTATTTATCTTTAAATATAATTATTATGTACGTCGCTAGACTTTTGGGGCTTTATATGAAGGATACAAGCTTGTGTTGGTTGAAGAGTTTTTCTGCTCTGCGTTGCAAACATCTGATCAAAATCATTATACTGTCTGCAAGAGCATGCAAACGATCAGCACCCGCAGCCACAAACAAGAAGAGGAAGAGGGAGAAGAAGTAACAGCGACGTCGTTAAACAAAAGAAAAAAAAATGATGCATGCAAAATGAATGCGGACATCAGAGAGACGGCGAGAGAGTGCGAATACGGCTAATGAATGCGAAATGGAACACAGAAACAAGGAATGCATGCAGTAACGGGGTCGCATAGTAGATACACTAACTAAAAGACGATGTTGGGGCTAGCAGCGCAGTACAATGTCCACCCAAAGTACATATAGAACATTGTATTTACATTCATAAATTCAAAGTCTATGGTTTGCGACAAATCTGATCGAAAATCAAGCATACTCCCGGAACTAAAAACTCTCCGTTGCCATACATATCTTTAATGAATTCCAGCGAGTGTTTATTCGAAATGAAACGCTCAATACTGGGGCAACGCCAACGCAACCGGCATCTCTGTTTGCCAGCAGCAGCACATACATAGATACGTGTATGCATCTGGATTTCTTGGGGTTTCTATGTGTGCGTGCATTGAGCGATGGCGCGAAATTTAAAAAAGCTACGTTTCAGCGACGACTTGGCGGCCTCCAATTGGGACTGACTTGGGCTGACGCTTAGGCTGACGTTGCTGTGGTTTCGACTGGATTTTGTTGTTGTACGTGATTTGTTTACGAATCTTAACTTAATATGTACACACTGTGCATTAAATTACCACGAAAGGCGTCGTCTGTTTAAATATTGTGCATTCACAAATACGCGATACATAAAATCACAGCTCTGCTCTGTCTACTATTTGCACTGGGCCCTGGACAGGGACAGGGACCCATACCAAAGCGAGGCCTAAATGCGAAATGCTCGGGCCGATCAGTGAAACAGTATAACCGTTACTTATCCGTTACGCTGCTGTAGCAGCCACATACTCACAACTACAATCACACTTGAATACTCAATCATTTGAATTCGAAAAATAAAACTAAATAAAACCATACAGCAAAATATAAAAAAAATTAAAAAGAAATTATAAATAATTTTGTTATACCCATTTATTCGAAACGAGTGAAACATCCACGGATTGCAACAAGAAATAAACACAAATGTTTATACAAATCGTATATTTAGTACATTATTCGGTTGTATTCAGTTGACGGACGCCTACTAATGATTCATGGGTTCTGTTTCATGAAAAAGATTTTCATACATATGTACATACATATGTGTGTATGTATGTATGTAAGCATGTACATTTCTTGTTTAATGAGCTTTCACAGATGAATAAAAGCGAATTCTAAGAAATAACATTACGTTTATTGCACGCCAATGTTTATTCATTCAACAAGATGTTATACAAAAATCTATGACCAAAATGACTTCCCAGTCTGGGGGCTGCACTCCCAATTAGCATACGGGTTAAGTCTACCCATTAAAACTTGTTAATTTCGATCTTCGATGTAGCCTGTTAACAAGAGAACAAACTAGGAAGTAAGGCAAACTGACACAGAGAAAAAACGTTGAGCGAAGCGACTGCTAAATTAGTGCAAGTCATTTGCATGGATTAAACTTAATTCATATTTGAATACCCATTTGATTTGGCCGCTTCGCAGATCTGTGTGTGTATTTCTCTTTTGGGAATTAGCATTTTAAAATGACGTCATGGTTAGACTTGGGGACTTAGGGACAGTGGCTGGAGCTGGGGCCCTGCACCTGTCGCCAGATTTCTTAAGTCTCTGCCTTAAATTCAGTTCGTCATCGGGTTCAGCCCGAGCCACAGTTAGGAAACGAGTTTAGTTTTTAGTGCAGACTCGAATTTATAGACACCGATATTCAGATATTCCATTTCCAGTATTTTTACCATCTACGCATGTATATTCATCGCTTTGTCTGTATATATTTATATGTGTGTGTGCGTATATATTTTAAAGTCGGTGTGGTTATGCATTAACTAAATTATTTATCCCATGATTGTCACATTAAAAATTTTTGGATTTGCTTTGGGAAAGTTTCCTTGGCTGCAGACGATCCTCTCTTGTATGGTTGGAATTCACAAAATACCTGCTGCTAAATACTTTCCGTTAAAGAGCAAAGCAAAACTTAACCTATCCATCACAGGAAGATATCGGTATGAGATACTACATCTCATGTACTTATGTACATCCTTTTAGATGTAAAAAGTGTAAATCAAAAACCAAATCAAACCTGTTTTATATAATTCATAGTCAAATATCTCAGGATTGTTCTCTATATGGAAAGTGACGATATTTTTGTGTGCATTTTCGCTATTAGCATTACACAAATGTCACTTGATCTGTCGCCTGACACATTTTCCACTCCCTCCGAGTGCGTTGAATGTGCGTGCGAATGTGTGTGCAGCACTTAAAGAAAAATGAATGTGAAAAGTTTTGCTCCGAATTCGTTGATGAGAAAGGCGATAGAGACGGGTTAGACATTTGAAAAGAATTTTCCGTTGTCAGTTCTTGTGCGTCAAGACAAAAATATAGACATATGAATGTATATGTACACATACATATGTATCTATTGTACATGTGCATGTACAATGCACATACATAGAACGCTCGCAATATGCGTAATTTGGTTCGCCATGTGAACTGTTCTGATTCTGATTCCCGATCCCAATCAAAGCTCACATTGTGAGTTTGAAATTCAAAACCAAAAAAGCAAAAAATCAAAGGCCAGCGGAATTCAGTTTACCTGTAGGAGAAGTACTCAGTCGACTGAGATTCGTAAACCCCGAAAAACGCATAACAAATGAAAATCAGAACACAGAAATAATGCTGAAAAGGACAAACTTTTATTCAAAGCAAACAATAGTCAAAGCATAATGAATGGCACAGGAAACAAAAAAACCCAGATGACATGAAGAAAAAGGTGAATGAAGGCTGAATAAAGGTTGAACACCGAGGAGGTCCCCGTGAGGAGGAGCTTTGTGGAATGGTTATCCCGTCTTTGTCCTTGGCGGCGTAGGTAACCAAGTTCCTTTTTCGGGCCACGTACAGTCCCATCAAAGGCTTTCTGTCTGTGCATTTCTGTGCAAGTCTGTGCATGTCTTTTCATTTTTACCATCTATTCCTCAATGTCTCTCTAGTCTCTCAATGACTTAACTCTTTGTCTGAACCATTTGAAGAAGTGGGATAGCAAATATTTGTGGTCAGAGCCATTAATTTGATTTTGGCTGGAAATTTATATATGTATTTATATTTGAAGTAAATTCTATCAGTAGAGTAGATTAGTCAAGTGCCAGACAGGCTATCACATTCCAGTCCAGTTCCAGTTTAAGTTCCATTTTGTTCCCAAGATGGAGAATGAAACGCGATTTATGTGGCAAAGGAGATCGTGGAGTGTGTAGTGTACGTACGCGTAGTTTCAACACACGCCGTGGCTGACCACTTGTGTGGAGGCAGACTTATCGTACCATCGATCTGAAGTGTAAATACAAGCGAACTCAACCGAACCGAAAAGCCCCCTCCAAGGGTGGCACCAATTTGTATGGTAATGGCAATAAAATATATGGAATTAAATTTAAAATAGTTGATGTCGTTTATCAGTGTTTGGTTAAGGCGAAAGGGTGCCCGCCAGCCAGCCACGTCGAGTTAAATTTTGTAGAGTTCAGTTCCCTGAAAATTAAATACAAATATTATTTATTTATAGCCGCAATCGGTATATAG